ACAGTATTGACAGTTAACTAAAATCAGTTTTCCCAATGCTTACCAGTAATCTTTTGCTGTTCATTTAGCTCCTCAAGTAGATTTTATTCTGAGGTTGTAAAAAGCACAGAAATGGCCATACGTTATTTGATCTAGATACTTGGCAAGTCAGTCTCCCAGAAGATTGGTTAGTAGAGACTGTCATCTAAGAGGCTCATTATTGCAGTGTGAACCGTGAAACAACCCGCAGGAAATGATATGAATTTAAGCTTCATATGTGGTATCTTGGAATCCAATATCTTTTCAGTATGCAGCCTACCAGAGGATGCCAGCCTGGATGGCCAGCTGGTCTTACACAGTGATTAAAGTTGTGTATTAATGCAATGTTAGTTTCTGTAGCTAGCCCAGTAAAATTATGTCCTGAAGCAAGCCACTCCCATGGCCCTGGGCAGTGCCACCATTATCTTCAGGCAAGCAGGTCCTACCCATCCATCGCCCTAATCCCTACAGCTCTCAGCGCCTTCAGGAGCACCCTAACGCCATGAGTTTTTTCTTTTAGACACTAGAGTCAATTTTAATTGGCATCTACTTGAATTGTCACCTAGGCAGAGTTTTTGTTTTTGTTTTTTTAAATTGAAAGATGGATTATACGAATTTAATCTAACCCCCTACAATCTCAGAAGGATCTTCTGATAAAATATTTAGTAAAAAGCATAAAATCTTTCTTTATTCACCTGTTTAGTGCACGCTCAAGCTGAGTATTACAGATGTGACTTATTTATTTATTTTTTTAAGCTACATTATTAAATGAAACCAAAGCTTTAGAAATCAGGGCTATTAATAGTGGTGACTCATGTATTCATGTTTTTAGAAGGACAATAAACTTCTGCAGGACAGTGTTAGAAATATTTTTTTATAAAGTTGTTTAGCTATAATTATAGTAATAGTATTATGTGTGCTAATGCAATTTATAATGCAAGTCATAATGTATTGATAACTTATACATATATAATATTTAGTAGTGATATATAGTAATATGGATAGAGAGCAAAAAAGTCAACACTTTAGATCAATTTAAGACACACAGCATACTACTTGTTATTCTAGTAGTTGGCAACTTGGTAGGATTCTTAGAAGGGAGACTCAGGAGGAAGTGGAGGAGGCTATTGAGAGTGATGAAGAGGCATAAAAGCATAGGGTTGTCTAGAAACATGACTGAGAGACACTGCATATGTTAGACGGGCTGGTTTCAAAGCGTGGTGGGAAAATCATAGGCAGGCTAATTGGAATCATCACTTGAATGCTAGCATACAGACTTTCAAATTTAGGCTGGAAGTGACTCCATCCACCGAATCTGTTTTGAACTGAGTTTTGACATGATGAAAGTAATATGTTCAAAATATTGATTTGAGTGTTGTGTAGGCTGGGTAGTGGGGAGATTGCAAGCAAGGAAACAAGATTTAACTAAGATTTCAGTAGTGTGAGTGTGTAGTGATAAAACCCAAATCACTGTCATAGCAATGAAAATTAAAAAGGGTAGACAATTATGACAGATAACAAAAGGATAAAGAAAGGACATCAAGAAGACTTCACAGTTTAATTTTCTGTGGTTGGGGACTAATCCAGTAAACATTAGTTGAGCAACTCCTATTTAAGAGAGTTTAGGAGATGTAGACTTACAATTAGTCTGCCTATGTACATTTCCTATGTACATATTCAATACAAGTTATCGTCAAATGAATGAAAAGCTGTTCATTAATGAAAGTCCATAAGAAATAATATTTAATTTTTGTGTGGTAGGTTTAGGAAATGTGTAGAATGAATTCTAATAAGGAAATTTGTTTTATAACTTTAATTTCCACCCTCCTAGAATTAGCATGTATAAAATCGAGTGCACTTACAGATAATCGTAAATCCAACATTAATGAGATTAGCCCAATAGTTTTACCCTTGAAGAATAAAGGAAGATATTTTGAAATTTTATATTTGCCTGAAGTTATTTTTACCAAATGTCATGAGGAAACTATAGTTAAGTAGTAAATATCACAGTCTTAAATTTATTATTTAAAACATAGTGAATTTACATTTAAGCTAGTTTATTGCATCCTTTCTTTTATGAAGTCCTGGGATAATTTTGTATACTTTTTGCAATTATATGCTTTTCTTCCTTTGCTTGGTTATACAGATGGATTTATTTTGTTAATTTCTTAATATGGTTCTCATATACCTACCTGCAAGCTTATTTTTCTCTTTAAAGGAAATTCTGGCCTAGCCAGTGTGGCTCAGTGGTTGAGCATCGACCTATGAATCAGTAGGTCACAGTTCAATTCTGGTTAGGCTACATGCCCATCTTTCAGGCTTCATCCCCAATGTGGGCTGTGCAGGAGGCAGCCGGTCAATGATTCTTTTTCATCATTGATGTTTCTATCTCTCCCTCTCCCTTCCTCTATGAAATCAATAAAAATACTTTATTTCTGTAACTTCTATATATGTCTCAACAGTGCAAAATATGGCCACTCATCTGACATTATAGTTTGTAATCATTTTAACTCACAGCTGTCTGTACGGTTTCAGTCGTATGCATGAAGCCATGACCTAATCCATTGGAGTGCTGGCGGGGTGCATCAGCAGTGTGCTGGCACCAATGGGAGATTTTGTTTCAAAGCTGAAGGAGGCTCTCTGATCCAAAACCCACCTTTTGATTTATACTTTCCTACACTTTTTGTTTACTATTCTTCAGTGGTTGGAAGACAGGGAAGGATATACGCTTTGCAGTCAGGCTGGCCTAAGTGAGAGCCCAACAACATGTAACTGAGCCAGACCTTGACCCCAGGTCCCAGGAGTGAGGGTCCTCATCGCCAAGGCTGGGACCAGCTGCAGTGACTTCCCAGTTGGATCTGGTTCAGTGTGGGGCGTCATGTAGCACCACATGGGAGGCTTAAATGAGTCACCACTGGCCGATTGCAGGTAGAGTGAAAGCATGAACATGATAGCCTTTGACAAGTGCTCTAAGACAGACCTGCTTCCAAAAATGTCACCTCGCCGATGGAGAGGCACAGTTCCTGCCCTGGAGTCAGACCTGTGGCTCTCTGTTACCTTCGTTAACCCTCATGTTTTATTGCATGAAAATGGAAGTAAAATGGCTGTCTTGAAGTGCAAACTACTCCTATGGTGGGTTTCTTGACACTACGTCTTGGTGTACATACATGGTCTATCATTTTTAAAAAACTTATACCTGATCTGGGTATGGGCCCTTAGGCTTTGGGAAGTGGGGAAGGAAAATAGGCCTAGTTCATTCTAGTGCAATAATTTAATAAAAGAAACAAAACAAACAAAAAAAACCTTTATTTATTTATTTAAAATATATTTGATTGAGTTTTCACAGAGAGGAAGAGAGAGAGGGATAGAGAGCCAGAAACATCGATCAGCTGCCTCCTGCACACCTCCTACTGGGGATGTGCCCGCAACCAAGGTACATGCCCTTGACCGGAATCGAACCCGGGACCCTTCAGTCCACAGGCCGACGCTCTATCCACTGAGCCAAAACAACAACAACACACAACCCTTTAAATAATACCCATTTTCTCAGTGAGAGTACCTCCTCGCTCAGATGTCTTCTTTGTCAGTGCCCCCTTTCCCTTGCCCTGGCTAAGGTGGTATCAGTATATGGAAGCAGGAAGGGCCCAGGTAGTGCCTCCTGTTCTCTGCTGCTCTTCCAGCAGCTGGAGCCATATCTTCTGATGCTGGCATTTCTGCAGATATGCCTCTTGATGTTGTTGTCTTCCTCTGCTGAGTTTGGGCCTAGTAGCCTTTCCAAGCTGATTCAGCCTCATGTGGCTCTCTTTGGTGAGAGATTTTCTCTACCTGGCCAGGGCCCATAACGCCAGCGTCTGCTGCAGGGGCATCAACCTGTTGCCAAGGTGGCAGGATTCTCCCTGAGTACTGTGGGGAGTTCTGGAGCCCATGTGTGGTTAACTCACTGCAGTGGGGGAAGTAAACACCAAGGACCGATTTTGGCAACCACCCAGCACCTGGCTGGTTTACAGGCATTGGCTGTGCTCCAGATTGGTGTGGGATGTCCTGAGTGATATTTTTTTCTAGAGCTCAGAAAGGAAATTGGGGCAGCCTTTCTGTACTAGTCAGGGACCAAGAGAGAAACAGATGGATGGCGTTCTCCAAGGGGGTGCCCGATTCAGGAGAGTTTAATGAAGGGACTATTCGAAGATGGGAAGAGTTAAAGGAAACCAAGAGGGGATGTTGAAGCTTCTCAGAACTAATCAATAGAACAATATCCTCGGTGAGGATAAATAAATAAATAAATAAAAATAAGTGTAGCCATTAAAAAAAGAGAGAGAGAGAGAGAGTGAGGCCAGCTTCAGAAGAACTTTGCAGATTGGGCCATATTTATACTCTTTAAGTAGAATGATTTTGTAGGATAATTATTTACCTTCTTCTTTTGACTTTTAACAAACTATCTTTTAATTGTTTTATTGAATAATAATACTAAATATACAAAACTATTTACAAAATACATTGGAAAATTCAGAAAATACTCATGCACAGTGTCCCAGAAATGGGCCTGCTCTCATTAACTCCACAAATATGTCCTCTGGGTTCCCACATTCTTTCCCTCTTCTTCCCCCTCTCCGCCCCTGCTGCCTCAGAGCCAACCGTGGTCCTGAATGCTTTATCATCGCCTTGCTTTCCTTCATAAATCTATTCTTACACAATACTTTATTTAGTTTTGCAACTTTGTGTAAGTGGAGCCGTACTCTGTGAGCTTCTGTAACGTGTTTTTTCCACTCAGAATCTGGTTCCCAAGTTTCATTCATGTGATCACATCAGCAAACTTATCACAGTATTATTTGCTATATTTTCCTTCACCTTTCTCACCAACTCCTCTCCCCTCCCCTCTGACAACCATCTTCTTGGTCTGTTTCTATGAATCTGTTTTTGGTTTGTCTTATTTGTTCGTTCACTTAAAAAAAAAAAGTGTTATGTTTTATCCATCTTGCCTGAAGGTCTGTTGGAGGCCGAACCACTGCGAGGAAGAGATGAAGACGCAGTAGCCAGCGCTGACTTCTCTAGCATGCTCTCTGACGAGGAGAGAGAAGAGCTAAAGGCAGAACTAGTTCAGGTATGTTTAGGAATCTTATTGTTCCTGTGTCTATCTCTGGATCTTGAGAGTTACTATTACTTTTATGTAAGTCCCATATTACAATTGTTTTATTACACTCAGTAAAACTTGATAAATGATGTACTGCAAGATGATTTATTTGGGGGGTATTTTTTTGGGGGGGTATTTTGTGATGCTACTGGTCCATTATTTGTTGGTTACAGTACAAAAATGGATGGTTATACTGCTTAAGCAACAACGATAATTAGCATTTCCTACTCTTTTAGTATCACAGTACCATGGGGATAATAAACCACTTACAAACCTGGTGGAATTCCTTCAAGACCCTGCAAGTACAAGCTGCTTTTTAAGAGGAGTTTTTGTTTTAGGTCAGCAACGTAGCTCAACAAACACTTTGAAATGATTTAGTTGTCATAAAAAAAGTCAATCACAAACTGGATTTATTGAGTTGTGCTCTTTTGCAGAAGAATAAAGCTGTACAAATAGAGAGGAAAGCTGTGCTGGCTGTAGGCTTCCTTAGATCGCAGGTAGTTGTTGGGACATTGGAACTTAGAGGCGAGGAGGATGCCTGGCTCACTGTGAATGCAACTCCCTGTTCAAGAATTTTGTTTGCAGCACCTACTAACCCTTGAACACTTGGCTAAGGAGCGGTTGGTTGCATTACAGAAGCTAAGGACACAGGGAGCTTCCCACGTACAATGGGCAGCAGGGGAGAGGGGTGAAGCCAGCATCCCCTCCCCATTCTGAATCCCTGGCTCTGAGGGCAGGAAGCTCCTGGTCCATCGGGAAGCAAGGCTTTCACCCCTGGCTCCAACCTGGGGACAGAGCCCCTAGCTCCACCGTTCCCTCAGCCCCTTGTCCACGGCAGACTCCTCAAGCTCTCAGGCCCTGAGAGTGTGTGTTCGTGACAGTTCATAATCACACTGAAGATTTTTCAGGTGCTTTCCCAAGACACACCCTAAAATAACTTCATAAAAATCAGCTTATTCCTCTGGCACAGCTGAAGTTATTTTTGTAAGCACAGTACCTCCAATCAAAGAGCCTGCTTCTTTGGCTGGGTTTGTCTGTGGCCACTGATCCGGAACCAGTCAGGTGACTTCAACCCGGCCATGCATTCCGGAGTGCACGGGCCAAAGTCAGCCTTCACTGAGCGAGCATGCAGCTCCACGTTTCCTTTAGGCCTGAATTCTGTTCACGACCTGCTCATGTCCGTGGTGGTGTCCAAAGGGTATGGTCCGTAGGCCAGTGTAAGTTAACTGATTCCATGCTAAATTTTAATTCCTTCATAGAACAGTCCAGGTTTAAGTTCACATGCAACCTCTGTGACAGACCAGTTTTTAGAAAATGACTTGATTTTTCTAGGTTCTGGGATTCTGTCAATGCATTTTTTGCACATTCTGTGTTTTCTTAATGTTCAACAGTGAGTATGGACTACTTTTATAATCAAGAAATGGTTGCCCTGACCGGTTTGGCTCAGTGGATAGAGCATAAGCCTGTGGACTGAAGGGCCCCAAGTTGGATTCCGGTCAAGGGCATGTACCTTGGCTGTGGGCACATCCCTAGTAAGAGGTGTACAGAAGGCAGCTGATTGATGTTTCTCTCTCATCGATGTTTCTAACTCTCTATCCCTTTCTTCCCCTCGGGTAAAAAAAAATCAATAAAATATATATGTATATTAAAAAAAAAAAAAAAGGTAAGGTAAGCCTGGGCTCTATATGGAGACCCCACTGAGTATAAATAACCCTCAGTGTTTTCAAAAATTTCTGTTTTTTTCTGGCCACATTAATAAGCTTCCAGTGCACCTAACTCCTAACACTTTCTGAGCCCGAATTCTGAAAATAACACCAGACTCCCGTCACTGTGTTCAAGTTGCCAGAATGCATGTTTTCATTCCTCAGAATGCATTAGCCTCAGTGCTTGCTCGCTCTTATTTCTGGATTTCTCAGAGACAAGGGAGTATTGCATCCTGCCCTATTGTGTGCTCACCAAGGGCTGGCACCAGGAAGACCTGTCCTTATGCTGGGAGACGTGAAAGAAGCCAGTATTGTCCAAAAGGCTACATCTTAGATAAAGTCTGCATTTTAAAAGAGGAATCTGTTGTTAACACAGTTTAGCTTTTATTGTAGTTTATGACGGTAGCATGTGATATGTGTGTTTTTCTAAGTTCTTCAGTGGGAGGAGGTGGAGGAGGGTATAGGGGAACAGATGGTGATGGACGGAGACTTGACTTGGGATGGTGTACACACAATACAGTGTACAGATGTGTGGTGGAATTGTGCACCTGAATTCTGTATAGTTCTGTTAACCAATGTCACTCCAGTAAATTCAATAAAAAGGAAGAAAAGAAACTAAAAATAAATAAAGAAAAGCTTGTTCAGTGTGAGGCCAATATCACCTCTGATCTGGTGCATGCTTTGTGTGTAGTAGGTGCGCGATAAGACTTTTAACTTTATTTTATAGCTCCAGTGAATATTTGTATTTGTAAACACCAGAAGTGGATTATGCTTTTTTATAAGGTTATCAATATATTAAGATATTTTGTGTCGAAGATTTGATCTCATTCATCTTATTACCAGTTGCTCCTGACATCTCCAAGGTCTCTGTACATCTATTCAGCGTTTCTTTCCCTCTGTCTCCATTTTTAACTAAACTTGCTCAATATTTCTGTGCTACAAACATCCACTCCCACTTCCATTTCAGTAAGATGAATTTTATGATCAGTATTCCATAATGTAACATGGCTTTTGAAAAGGATGAAGTGTTGGCATTAGTGCTAGAAATCTGTGTTTTATAACAATTAGAAACTGCCAATGTCCCCTCGATAAAGTGACTCAGGAAAAATGGGTATTAATAGGATTAGGAAAAATACCAGAACTCATTATCCAGCAGGCAGAACCTATGTTCAGGCTCCCTCCATCCACTCTTGGTTCCCCTCTCCTTGGGTGTGTGGTTCCTCAGGAAGAACTCACAGTGCCCTCAAGCTCCCATCTCTTAGACTTACAGACTCAGCTCCTTCCTCCCAATCCTTTATTCTTTCTGGACTAAGCTAGTGACCAGCTAAAGTGTTCATAACCAATAATGTCTTACTGTAGCATTCTTCTGTATTAGTGAGGGTTTTCCAGAGAAACAGAACCAATCCTGTCTAATAAAAGGGTAATATGCAAATTAACCATCACTCTATCACAAAGATGGTAGCACCCATCGTGGCCAGGGCAGGAGGGGCCTCTGGGGGCAACGCCAGCCCAGCATCCTGCACCCCAGCCAAATGGAGGGAGGGGTCTCTGGCTAGAGGCCAGGGCACAGAACACTGGCGTTGCAGACCAGGCTGAGGGGCCTCCCCACCATGCATGAATTTCAAGCACTGGGCCTCTGGTTTTATTTATATATATATATATATATATATATATATATATATATATATATATGAATGATATGTGTATATATGTGTGTGTGTGTGTGTGTGTGTATGTATATATATGTATGTATGTATACAGGTCCCAAGATCTATAGTCAGCAAGCTGGAGACCTATGGAAAAAGGGTGTGCTTCCAGTCTGAAGGCTAGCAGGCTCAAGGCCCAGGAAGAGCTAACATCACCCTTTGAATCCAAAGGCAGAAAACACACACACACACACACACACACACACACACACACACACACACCTGGGGTAGGTGCATGTTTCAGCTTAGTCTGACATCTTTCCTCACTGCTTCCCTCCTACTTGTAGCTGGAAGACGAAATTACAACATTACGACAAGTATTATCAGCAAAAGAAAGGCACCTGATTGAGATAAAGCAAAAACTCGGCATGAACCTGATGAATGAAATAAAACAGAACTTCAGCAAAAGCTGGCATGACATGCAGACCACCACTGCGTAAGTACATTCCTGGAATACTAACCAATCACTTCGTCTGCCATCTTGCCACTTTTCAATTTTTTTGTTTTTTTCCCTAAACGGTATTGTAGCTAAAAAAGGACACTGACTTGGTATTGTAGCTAAAAAAGGACACTTTCTCTAAAAATAGGGGGAAAACCTCAATAATCATTTTTAAAATGTTGCATGTGGAACATGCTCCATAAAGTATTAAACTTTGTTCACTAAAATTCTATTTTTACTCAGACCACTTTACAGTATTGCATATTTTTTTTAAAAAAATCTTTCTTTTTATTATATATTTTAAGCATTTTTGAATATGTAGTTTTTATATGTTCTCATAAAATTGTAAATGGATATGCAGAGTTTGGTAGTAGGAAGAAATACCGGGATGGATGGCCATTATTTCAGTCTCGTTGGGGCCATCTTTGCCTGCTGATGCCTGAAAGCTACGGTCTAAGACCCTTTGTTGCTGTATGAAGGTGCCCTTTGTTGGAGGAGTTGGATTAAAGGAGTCTGCTGTTTCCCTGCTGTGTTTCCTTTAGTTTCCAGTGAAAGAAGACCCTATAACAGCCTATCCCATAGACTTCTATGCTTGTGCACCCCACGGGCTCTCCAGGCAGGGACAGGGCACAGAGTAGGGCAGGATGGAGCCAGGGAGCCCAGCAGTTGATCTGCAGAGGCTAACCAGCCTTCCCCAACCTGACGCTAATTAGAGAAGACGAGAGGCCGGTTGCAGGAAGATTCGTGCAATAGGTCTTCCTTCCCCTGGCTTCCGGCACTGGTTTTCCTCCCGCACCCGGGACCCAGGCCTTCGCTCTGGCTGCCGCCTTCTGCCTTCACTCCGGCCGGAATCTGCTACCTTTGCTGCTGACTCTGGCCAGAGTCTGCCATTTTCGTCTTTACTGCAGCTGGAGTGCTGCTCCTGTAGATCCCTTTACCCCCCACCCTCCCTCTCATAGCAGGCGTCCTTCCCTGTCCGGCCACTCCACGCCTGGAGCGGTTGGGTGGTGGGGCTGCCGCCATCTTTGTCCTTCTAATTTGTATCTTCCCTTCTGATTGGCTGGTAGGCATCATGGAGGTATGGTCAATTTGCAACTTTTTCTTTTATTAGTGTAGATAAGACACCTCACATGGATGTTTATACATTTCAAATACATAATGCAACACCATGTGAACAATCTGCCGAAAAGCATAGCTGGATTTTAGGCATTACATTAATGAGCCCGTGTGTCAGCAGTTTGGCCTATGTCTTTGCACCTTGGTGGCCTAGACCCATTAATGGCCCTGACCCCGTGAGATGGAACAATCTCCAGTCCTAGGATCTGGTAACCTGTGTATTAATCTGGGTCTGGAGGCTTCACGTCACACTGACCTGAACTCTCTTCTGGGTGTGAGAACCAGGCCAGATGTTGTGCTTGGCCCTTCTGACCACACTGCAGGGATAAGCTAGCCCAAGGGAGAGAGAGCCAGGCCCTTCTGTTGCTGAAGGAAGGCCAGGGTGGGGAGGGAGCAGGGATAGGAGGGTGCCCCAAGTTTGCTCTAGGTGTGATGGGGGCAGAGTGGGAGGTGGGGCAGTGAGGGGAGACTCATAGTCCCGCTGGGACATGGGATTGGTGCAGGCAAGTTCCAGGAAGGAAGAGGGAAAGAGATAGAAACATCAAATGATGACAGAGAATCATTGATCTGCTGCCTCCTGCATGCCCCCTACTGAGATGGAGCCTGAAACCCAGCCATGTGCGCTGACCCGGGAATCGAACTGTGACCTCCTGGTTCATAGGTCAACGCTCAACCACTGAGCAACTCCAGCCAGGAAATAGAGTTATTCTCTATCCACAGGCAATAGAAAGCCATTAAAGGGGTCATGACAGTTTGTTTATCCAGCAACTTCAATGAGTGCCTACTCTTAGGCATTATTATACAAAGGCTAAGCTAAACCCACAGGATAAAGGCTTCAAAGATGGGGGAAAAAAGTTTCTTACTCTCGCCGAGACCGGTTTGGCTCAGTGGATAGAGCGTCGGCTTGGGGACTGAAGGGACCTGGGTTTGATTCCGGTCAAGGGCATGTACCTTGGTTGCGGGCATATCCCCAGTATGGGGTGTGCAGGAGGCGGCTGATCCATGACTCTCTCTCATCGATGTTTCTAGCTTTCTATCTCTCTCCCTTCCTCTCTGTACAAAATCAATAAAATATATTTAAAAAAAAAAAAGTTCCTTACTATCTTTGTGTGTCAAAAGGCAAAAGATCAAGAAACACGTGATAAAATGAACATATAAGGAAATATCAGGAAGTGCTAACTGGCGTATGGTGATGCTCTACAGGAGGAGGTGGGGGCCGGGGAGAAGCAGCTGGGACGGGGTCCCTGTGTCAGGGAAATCCTGTCCTGGAAGCTGCTTCGAGCTGAGACCTGAATGATGAGAAAGATCGTGTGGTGACTCGAGGAAGAGCTTTCACGCAAAGGCAAAAGCTTCTGCAAAGACCCGGAGGCTAGCTAGAACTGGCTTTACAGGTTTCAGGAGCCCAAAGCAAGTGCTGTGTCTGGAGGATAGTGAGAGGAGGGGGTCAGAGCCTCTGTTTCATGAGCAACTGTGGGGATTTTATCCCAAGGGCTCAGGATCCTGTTGAAGAGTTTGAAGCAGGAAGTGACCTGTTCTGATTCATCTTTCAGAAAGATCACTGCAGTGACTGTGTGTGATACAGATTGTGGGGAGGAGGGTGTGGAAACTGGAAAGTCCTTCATGAGACTGTTGCCATAATCCAGGTGGGGACGGTGGTGAGGGAGAGATGTGGACAGGGAGCAGGCAGGATTTGGAGGTCAGGCCAATGGAATTTCCTAGTGGTTGGGAGGCAGGGGATGAGGGACATAGAAGGATCAAATGGAACTCTTGTGTCTTGGATTGGGACTCCTGGGTGAGTTGAACACTGTTTCCTGCAGTAGGACTGTAGAACTGTGGCTAAACCATGAGCTATGAACTCCCTCGGGTTGGGTTAAAATCTAGGCCTCCCTGCATCTGCGGATTGAGGTTATATTAGTACCTGTTTCAAAGGCAGTGAGGATTCACTGCGTTAATATCTGTATAGGATGTAGGATGGCGTCTGACACTCTGTAGTCAGATTCACTTTTCTAGGAAAGACTGAGACAGATTTTGTGAGGAGACCCAAGTGTTGGCCATATCAAGTCTGAAATGCCCAGGAGACAAACGAGTTTATATTCCAAGAGCACAATGTGGGGGCAAAGTCCAGGACATTCGGGAGTCGTTAGATGAGTGTGGATTCACTAACCTTTAGGGATGATGTGAACTTTGCTTTGTAGGAAAGAATCAATCTCTCTCTTAAGAGGGAGGCCTGTCAACAACATTATTTTGGGAGAGCATCTTCCTCCCACCATCTTTTCTTGGCTGCTGAGGGAAGGGAAAAAGTCTTACTCACATGGTAAAGTGGGGGAGGGGACAGATAACAAAACCTGTTTTCTCCATTCATTAATTAAATCCCTGTTGTTAGTGTCCATGACACCCATTCCAGGACAAGCTCTGTAGCTCACACAGTGAACATTTTGACGCGAGGGAACTGGAGTGGGGTTAGTTGGGTAGAATTAGATTTTAAAGCACTAAAAAGGATGTTAGCTGTCAGAGAATCGCTGGTGACTACCACAGGCAATACTTTGCATACTGATTAGGCAATCATGACCTATTTAGTTTGATTTATAATGAAAAGAAAATCTGTGGGATGGTAATGAAAGATCTTGGCATATTTTAGTCTGCGGTAGGATTCAAATAGGAACAGAACTGGATGAGTAGGAATAATTATACAGGAGACTGAAATTAGCTCTTTTCTAGAAAGGTAACCATATAATGGCAGGTCAAGAGATCCCCTGTGTCCCAGGTTTATTGTTAGGCTGTTGTTGGTGTCATAGTTTTTTTTTTTTTTACATGTCTTTTTTACATGTCTTTTTTTACATGTTTGAGAGAATCTAGGAGCAAACACAAATTATTCCGTCATCTTTTTTTTTTCTTTTTTTTTTTTTTAATTATCTCTGCTGCTTTTCTATGTTGCCTCTGGGCTTCAAGGAGGGGTGGGGACGGTGGTGAGGGAGAGATGTGGACAGGGAGCGGGCATGTGTGTGGCTTGGGGTCTAGCTGTGGGAGGTCACCTGAGGAGATACTGAATCTTAATAAATAAGACTGGCCTAGGGTTTTGAGCACTGTGACAGGAAGAACAGTGCTATTTCCATTGTTCTGAGACATTTCTAACAGTTACTGAATCAAGTGGAAAACAAAAGAGACCTAACCTCAGGGAATCAAAAGAAACCAACAGAAAGTTTCCATTCTCCTCACACAGCTCTAGCCAGAGCCACACATTCCCTCTTACTCAGCAGGTTCTTCTTTGAGCCTGATTTTCCGTGGTCTTTCCATATTCACCAGGAAATGTCTGTTTAGTACACGAATGTTTTGTTTGGTTTTATGATCTAGATAATATGATTTTGACACTTCCTGAAAAGCAGGCATTGTGTAAATAAATAACACATGGTAAACTCATTCCAAGCTGCTAACAAAAAAGGCAGTAGTAGAATGCCATGTTAATAAAGTGATTTCAGTCCTGAGGATGACCCAGGCGCATGCTTTAAAGCATTTCCTTCAAGTACGATAGTGCGTTTAGGAATGCATGGTGCGGAGATGGAAGGGGTGGGTGGAGGCATAAGGGACATTCCCACACGAGTGATTTGATATAACATACAGCCTTCTCAGAGGTACCAGGTAATGTAAGAGCTCCAGACCCAGCAGGTAGCTTTGGGGGAACTGGCCTGGGAGTAGCATATATCTGAAGAAGGTGGTATGTACATTACAAGAATTTGTGTTTCTCTTTTATTCTATACAAACATTCTTGTTTTGTTCTCAGCTTCATTGAGATATAATTGGCCTATGGCACTGTGTAAGTGTAAAGTGTAAGGCATCATGACTTGGCATGTTGTGAAGTGACGTACAAAACTTTTTATTGATTTTAAAAAATATGTATATATTTTATTGATTTTTTTTACAGAGAGGAAGAGCGAGGAGAGAGATAGAGAACTAGAAACATCGATGAGAGAGAGACATCGACCAGCTGCCTCCTGCACACCCCACACCAGGGATGTGCCCGCAACCAAGGTACATGCCCTTGACCGGAATCAAACCTGGGACCTTTCAGTCCGAAGTCCGATGCTCTATCCACTGAGCCAAACCGATTTCGGCTTGATTTCTTTTGATTCCCTCAGGTTAGGTCTCTTTTGTTTCCCATTTTTTAAGTAACAGTTGGAAATGTCTCAGAACAGTGGCTATAGCACTGTTCTTCCTGTCACGGTGCTCAAAACCGTTTTTTTTTTTTTGTTTTTTTTTTTGTCACTTATCACCTCTCATGTCTGTGCATCTCTCTCTGTGACCCGCCCCCTCCTCGCTGTTCTTCCTGCCACGACTCCCCATTCAGAGCCACAGAGGAGCGTCCTCTCTGAGCATCCATTCATCCATCTAGTGTTTTCTTCTGAGTTTCTCCTGTAACCCTCTGCCAGACATGAGACACAGAGAGTGGCTTCTTTGCCCTCAAGGAGTCAGTCCAGTGGGGACCCAGGCGATGAGCAGAGATAGGTCATTGCAGTACTAGATTCCTAAAACTGTTTTTGAAAAAATCAGTGTTATCTTAAATTACATGCCTTTCTTATTCTCAGTATAAGTATTAGAAAAGTAAGCTAAATACTAGTTTAATATTTTCCTTTTTATGGTTAATTTTACCCACAGTAACAGTAAAAGCTTAAAGTTCCCTTTGAAATGTACATTTTAAAATTTCGGCGTCACCTTTGATGTCTAGAGCTTTCATTGACAAGTGTCTCTTGGTAAAGTTAATGCACTTCTTTAAGAATGACTCTCTACTCTGGACAGTCCCACTCCTTGTGATTAAAGATCTGCACATTCAGATCTATACTTGTCTGTATCTTGTTCTTGAATTCAGATTTAATTGTCTGACTGTCCCTTCTATAAGTGGCAGCCAACCCATCCTTTCAAAAGCAATGACTGGAAACAATCACTAAGGAGAGAGAGGGACGATGCATGGTTTATGGGTGATGATGGTATATAAACTGCTGTTCTGTTTACTTCCAGCTACAAGAAGACGCACGAAACCCTGAGTCACGCAGGACAGAAGGCCACTGCTGCTTTCAGCAATGTGGGGACGGCCATCAGCAAGAAGTTTGGAGACATGAGGTACTGCGGGAGGGAGCCCTGGGAATGGGCCCAGCCCTGGGCTGCTAGAGAGAGGAGAAGTGTTATCTGTCGGTTAGTCTTCCTCATATAGTCCTTTTTGATTGGATTAATTATTATGTGCCAGGTAGTGATTGGTGACTGAGGTAAATTATGATATTAGGGCATATTCTGACTAAAGGCCAGTTTAGTGGCAGGACTGGTCCCAAAGATGCCCTTTCCACTGGGCCCCAACCTGGTAAAAATAGAAGATAGAGGATGTCTTTATCGCTGGTAATAAGGGATTTCAAAAGAGCACAGCACATATGATTATAATTAATTGTATACTTTATTTTAATTTATTGCTTAAATTACATTAATTGTAATTTAAGCAATAAATTAAATTACAATTAATGTAATTTAAGCAATACGTTAAAATATGTATTCAGTGGAATATCCTCTAATAAATCATTCTAGTTTTATACACATCCGTCTAGTTACAGTTTTACATACATCCATTTTATATGCTAAATATATAATGTATGTATTATTTTTATTCCAAAAAGGTACTATATGGTATATATTTCTGGTAGTTTTCCTTCTTCACTTTAGCAATATTATGAACATGTCAATAAATGTATGTCTATTACATTTTTAATAACTTTATTATCTTCCAATGCGCTTCCTTGCACAATTTGGTTATTTTTTCAGTATTTCACTATTACATAAAATTAGGCGATCATTAAAATTTTGAACTGAGAACCAAATGTCCTCACTATAGTCACCAGAAAACACTGCAGTATTGACCATTACTTTTTATATTATGTGCTAAGGCATTACATAGAATTGTTACTCTCATGCTGTTTTGCTTGTTTAAATACCTACCATAGTTTATTTAGAATTTAGCTGATATGCTTATGTGACTTTTAAATTAATAAACCAAATTTCCTTTTTCTCTAAAAATCCAATTCATTCTTTAAAATTTTTAAACTACATTTTAAATTTCTTTAAAAAGATCTGTGTGAATTATTTCACTGGATTCTTAAACTATTAATTTTTTATTACCCTTCAACTTTGATACTTAGAGAGAAATATTTATATCTTTGTGTTTAAGTTATTTTTTTTACATCAAATATTGCTAGACTGTGCCCAATATTAATGCACCATCTTAATAACTTGGCATTCATGAGGCTGGAGTTAAGTGAGAAATGTACATTAATCTGAGTATTTTTACTATTAATAATAATAAACGCCATTGAAATTCTTCAGAGACAGCATGTGAATTACAGGTAAACATTCTGGATTTTCATTGACCTTAATTTTATTACAAATAAAATATTCAATCATTTCAGTGGTATTAAAACATTGATCTAAACTAATTAAATAATTCCTTAAATGGGGAAGACCCTATTACCTGTTATATCCAAGAAAATAGATTTTTGCCACTTTTCTAAAATTCATTCTTCGCATACTTACTTGAAACCTTTCACTTGAACGCTGGGACGTTGGTGTTTCTCCATCTTTAGGGGACTTACAAACAGCTCTGAATCTTGTTTAGAATACATATTTCCAGATTGCACCTCCGAGAGTTGTGCCTCAGTCTTGGATGGAGTCTAGGAACTTGCTTAGTAACAAGTTCCCAGGTGATTCTATTTCATGTAGTCAGGTTCTGAGCAAGCCAAGTGCAACTTAGCTCCTGTGTACCTGGGTTGTGTCAGTTATGAAATGGGGATAAAAGTAACAGCACCATCGAGTTATTTTAAAAGCAGAGAGCCTGCTGTGTACTCAGTGCTCGAAAAATGCTAGTTTTTATCTTTTCTAAGTGACCATCTCGGTGACAAGGTGGCCCATTAGGGCAGAAATTAGAAAGAACCCATTAGCCTGGCTGGCGTGGCTCAGTGGTTGAGCGTCAACCTAGAACCAGGAAGTCATGGTTAGATTCCCAATCAGGGCACAAACCTGGATTGTGGCTTGATCCCCAGTGTAGGGTGTGCAGGAGGCAGCCGATCAATGATTCTCTCTCCCTCTCTCTCTCTGAGATCAATAAAAACATATTTTTAAAAAACTACCAAATTAAAATGTTTCCTGTGAAGTTAAAATGAGGTCACATCTATGAAAGTATTCTGAAGAAATGCAAGCTGTTGGAATACTTTCTATGATACTGGCATCTTCCTGGTACTTCTCAGGAATTTGTTCAAACTGCACGTGATCTAGGGCAGATGAAATCTTTGGAGGAGGCACATGATCTCATTAGTGAGTGTCACCATCGTTATGTACCCATGAAATAATAGAAACACACAGATTACAACATGTTGTTAAACTCAGACACATTGAAAAGTCAGTAGGCTCAGAAAGTGTAATGAATGCAATTACTGTTTGTTTGGGGGCTCTTATATGGTGTATCGTTTCCTCCTGATGTGCTAATGCTGCTCCTGCTCTTCTCTCCATGCTGCCCCGGCTGTAGGTCCCACTCCATCGGGTAAGCACTGCCTTGGGGGACCCTCCGCCCCTTCCTTCCCAGAGCTCTCTTTCACAGTGAGAGTGTGTCTCAGCTAAAAACTAAGTCTCTCTTCCTGAATGTGTTCCTGACCAGTGAGTTACAGACTAGAGGGGCATCTAAGGCATTTGAATTTCTGTAAGCTCATGTTTATCTCCTTTCTGAACCATTTACACCAGTTTCACTTGCTGAGCAATCTCTTAGGAATCTCTTTTCTGCATCATTTCTCCCTAGATTGGCAGAGGCCCTTCTGAGAGAAGAAAAAAAGGAATGTGGATATTGAGAGTTGTGCATTTTTATAAAACTTAGAGAAAGTAAGGTCAAGAAACAGAAAATTACTTTCTCTAGACTGTTACATTTTTCTGAACATTTGTGACTGTTATTAATGGGGATGGTTCATCTTTAACTTCCCGTGCCTCCCCGAAGCTGAAGAAGGAAAAAGTTACTGGAGAAGCACATATGTCAGGCACTGTGCTCTGAATTCAGCTTTTCTTTCTTTTTTTAAACCTGGAATCTCATTCTATGCTTTTTTTGGAATTTGTTTTTCTGAGAAAACTGTCTCTAAGGAGATTAATAGATTGATAATGCTGATGAATTTCTTTTAGTAATTCTTTTTTTAATACAATTTTTGAGGAAATATTTTGTTTATACAATAGTTTCCAAATGGAGTGTTTAAAGTAGAACCATAAATATCACCTGAATTCCTTTGTCCTTTTGTGTTTCCGTTCTAGTCAAGTGCCACCCATACTAATGGCCTCAGTGGATATTGTTGGGAAAAGGTGATGAGTTTGATCCCTTCCCAGTTAGCTTCTTGGGAGGAGAGAAAACAGGGAGGGTGTTGGAACCTGTGGAAAATGGACTGTCTCGTGATAACTACCTGTATTCCTCTGGAGAGTTTCACTGCATTGGAACAATTAGCTGCCACCTGTTCAGCCCTACTTCCCGTCTTCTTGACCAGGAGAAGGGGGTGGAGAAGAAGCAGGCCCTTGAGAGGATGCTCAGGGGCTACTGGGTTGACCTGGAAGGATCCAGACATTCACATCAGATTTCCTGGCCTACAGGGCACCACCTACAGGAAGTAAAAGAATATGCAACTATGGACCACCTATTCTTCCCTTGTCCCCTTGGAATTGACTGTGGCCCAAGTTACCCAAAGAAAACAAATAGCATCTGGGTGAGGTGGGCAGCAAACACTCCAGATAGCTGAGATTGCTGTTTTAGGAGGAGGGAGTTTCTCATGTGCTTATGTTGTGCTATCTTCTCTTTCTTTTCTTCCCTTTAATCTGCTTTTGCCCTGAAGCTACTCCATTCGCCATTCCATAAGTATGCCTGCTATGAGGTAATGTGTGTAAATTATTTTACATAATATTAATGCAGAATATGTGTGAACGGTTACTTCACTGATATTTACCTGCTGGATTTTTTTTATCCCGTATATGAAAGGAAGTGCCATGACCTACTTTGTTCTCTGTTCTGGTGGTCCTCGGAAGAACCTGTAATACTTGGACAATTCTGTAAAAGTATTGTAGATGCAGTGAGCTTGGGCTTTTGACCAGACACCCCAGCTTAAATCTCCTGATATGTGAGAGTTGGGACAAGTTATTTCATTTACCTCAATCTTCATTAAAAGCTACTTTATATAGTTGTTGCGAGATCTAAACAAAGTGACCTATGTAAGGCCTAGAACATTCTTAGCACACTTGCAAAGGCAGAAATATGTTCATTTCCCCAGGGTTAAATATAAGGCTAGTGGAAGAAAGTTTAAATAAAAGGGAAAGTTTAAATGAGAGGGTTCAGTTTTAGAAAGGATATCATTGGGCTTTTTTGAGGTATAAATTAAGGTGAGGTATCTGTTGAACAATAAAAAATATCCTTGAAATGATTGTCTAGATGAAAACTGAGAAAGATGTCCTCCACGTCCAGTGTGTTTGAGTTTGTCGCAGAGTATAGAGGAGGTGATGGTAGACTGGGAATCAGAGGATACAGGTTGTAGGCAGAGCCTGCCAGGAATGAACTTTGGAAAACGCACCTCAGTGATATGTTCCATCACGTTTATAAATAAGAGACTCAAACCAGATGCACTGCTTTCCCATGGTGGTTGCCTTGGGTTGCCATGGTGATTGGTGGTGGTGGGGGGGGGGGGGGCAGAATCAAGGCCCCGGACCCCACTTTAGTTAAAACTGTGCCTCTCCAACCTATTTTGTGTCATATGTTGTGGGGTGGATACATTATAGGGGGGGGGGAGTCAGTTAATCTTAACATGTTTAGTGCACCAAAGCCACGTTCTTTCTGGGGTCATTTGCACTGCTGAAAGTTTGTTTTTTACATAATCCGATTAAATCTTAGTAAACAGTTTCTCCCCGTTCTCCAGTATGTATTCCACTGTAACTTAATTTGAGAAATGCCTATTTCATTATGTCCGATGATGTCTCTTCTACACTGGGGTTATTTGGTTACTCTGGGAATTTAATCACAGTATCCGAGTTCCCCGATTTGGTGGTGGAGAGCAGGAATTCAGGATTGCTTTGTTTCTATTTGAATGACTGGCTCCTCACAGCATAAGAATAGCCAAACTGAGCAGTGTAACCGGAGGGGTTCTGAGCTCCTTATCAAATTTTAAGTCTAGAGCTTGCAAGAAATTAACATGATTTTTCTCTATGAACCAGGAATTCATCTAGTGGCTCATTGGTCAAAGTCAGTCCTCATAAAATTGCCTAAAATTAACTTTAAAAGAAAAATGATTTTACTCAGCTAGCATATACCCATAAACCATTAGGCAAACTGCCCAGCGTGGCCTAATGTAACTGACGGATGACAGCAGTCATGTGAGCAGGCTGGCCAAATAGAACTTGCCATGGAAGTCAAGTGCCAATAAGTATCTACTTTTGAGACTTTCAAGTGTAATTTCACTAATTCTTCCTCATGAAACAGAGGTATTATGAAGAATTACTCGTAGGAATTTGACTCATGTTTGAATCAAATACAAGGTGCGATGCCATACTTGGGCCTTCACATTTCACCATTGTGAATTCATGCAGACAGAACGCAAAGACATACATTTTTTATCATCTGGAGCATTCAAATCTTTGGTGATAATCCATAACAAAGCCAATTAATTCAAAACCATGTCCTCTACATTATTTTCCTCTTGATAGCATTAGAGCGATGCTTCATTCCACACCATACAATATTTTATAGCCATTCTCTCTTTTCTCCAAGCCATTCCTTTATCTTCCTTCTTCTGCACTCAAGAGAGAATCATAAGTGGCTTATCAAATGGGATTATAAGTGGCTTTTCAAATGGAATTATTTGGCTATCCTTGTTGCTGAAAGCTGACATGGACACAAGATTTAAGACACATTTTTAGTTCAGTTCTTATTTCTTTAGTTGGACTTGGTGATATCAATTGGTAATGTTGTCATTAAATCATGTCATGTGACCAAACCCGGTATAGAAAACCAAAAAGCACCAAATGAAGAATTTAATGCTAATAGTTACAAATGGTATAGATTATTTAACACAATGACGACTCACAACTAAAATGTCAGTGGACTGTGAAGGCCCACTCTTCTAAGAGAACAATTAGTTATATCCTTTTCAGAAGGGAAAATACCTCATATTTATAACACCAGTTTGACCAAGCATTAGACAAGTAATAAGTAGTATTTCAACTTACAGTAATCAATGCATTGACATTCAGAAACACTCCTTTATGGAAGTTTACCAAATGGTTACTTTTGAAGGCACCAAAAAGAAAAACTTATAAACCTTCTTTTCTTGCACTAGTTCTGTCTTGTCTCACATACACTGAAATAAATAAATTTAAAATTCCAAGTGCGAAAACTCAAACATGACATTTTCTGCATGCTTACAAAATAAAAAAAATAAAAGTTGGGAAAGAGAGTGTTGTGATAGAAGCGATCAGTAAATGAGACGTTAAGTATCACTCCTTTGACTCTAATAATGACTCACGGTACATGATGGACTTATTACATTTGTACTGTTGCCAAATGCCATACTATTCTACAGTTGAGTTTCTCACTATTTCACTTGGAAAAATTCCATGCCAAGTATGGTTTCTGGATCTAACCTGGCAGAAGAGAAATACATGTACCGTAAATATATGGTTAGGATAGGTGCCACACGGACAGCTAGCTCCGGTGTGATGTTTCTAAGAGCCGAAATCAGACAGCTTAGTTACTAACACAGGTAGGTCTTTGGAGCTGACCTCTCTCTCTTTTTTTCTTTTTGTTATTTTAGGAATTCTCCTACTTTCAAATCATTTGAGGAGAGGGTTGAGACAACTGTCACAAGTCTTAAGGTACAGATGAAATGAACTTTGTGTCCTCGGGCCATTGAATCAAGACAGCATAGTCATTGCTGTGGTTAGTTCCAAGGGTGTGCTGCCAACATGCAGGCAGTCGAGAAGGTGGCCTTGCACAGTCAGGCTTCACATATAAACCCATAAATAAAGCCGGGAGTGAGTAGGGTCATGGTATCCTGACAAAGCGGCTGGTATATGCCACTAGGAAGGAATTGCTCACGGAAGTGAGTTTGGGTACGTATTCATCTCTGCACTGGTTATCTGGCCAGAACTCTTAATGCTATTCCTCGAAAAGTAGGTAAGTGAGAGAGGATGTGGATGGAGCAAAGGATCTGTGAATTCTGAATTTAGAGTGTAAGTTCAGTTCTGGTTAATGCTCCTCTGGGACGGACATGGACTAGCAAAAGACAAACTTGGCTCCTGATACGGCCACTCACTACCTGCCAGCTGCCTAACCTGACTTATTCAATTCACATAGGAAGCATGGCACAGTTTGGTCACCATGCAGGGAAAAGAAAGCCGAGTCCCATGATGCATTGCTCTGTACTAGTGCATTGGATCCCTGGGTAGGAACTGAAAATATGCCATAGTAGGAGGTAAAAAATTTTATTGAGTTTTTGTTTGTTTGTTTGTTTCAGCATAGGTAAGTTATTCTACAGAGGAATAAAGAGTAAAATTAAATCCCACCCAATCTTAAAATGTATAGAACGCTTATCGGAAAAATCAGTGAGACGGCTAAGATTATGTTTTTAAAGATAGCACCTAAACAATGACTTACCTATGTGTGGGTATCATTATCACTGTTTTGTAGATAATCCATTTCTGCATTTCCCTGTTACTGAGAAGATTAAAAATACAGATGATCTTTAATTAGATCAAGAACAGCTGTTTGCACTTGCTGATTGTCCAGCTGCTTCTGAATCCCCTGTGGCCGTGCTACCTGAGGGGTCTGTGAGGGTGTCTGTCCCTCACGAGAGGCCCTGGGTGCTCTCACTGAATTTAATTTGGAAGGCCTTACCCTGAGGGGTTGGGTCTTTAACATAGAATTCTCCCACTTCGCTAGGCCTGTGAATAGGTGTTGAAGGCCCAAGAATGAAATAATTACTCAGCATCCGTCCTGCCTTCCCTGGTTTCATTTACTAGCAGTTTCTAGTTGTGCAGTTTCATCCCTCTGCTTTGTCAGCATCATCATTTGAGTGACCAGTAGGACCCATTAAATCTCCCCCATTGGCAGGGAAACTTTTGATAAGGAGGGACATGCATTATCTCGGACCTTTCTGTTGCTAGAATATCCCGTTTTAAAACAAAGGGCTCATAAAAAAAAATAAAAAAAACCCTAGGAGTCAGTTTCTCAACTTCTGGTTCTCAGCCTAAGACGCGCCCAAGAGGATGGATTCTGTTGTTTGTAAGACAAGTTCTGACTTGGGAGGAGTTGTGCTTTTTAGGTTTTCTTTAGAAGAAGGAGCTATGAAGAAGCACAAGAAGATTAAAGAGCAACCAATTTTCATTTGCTTTTAGGAAACTCTGGTAAGCGCACAGCTCCCATATGACTCTATGATTTTAGTGTTGCCCACACTCTCAGCTTCTTGCTCTCTTGCCTCACTGGGATGGAAGGTATAGAGCCTTTCTCCTCCTTCAAACATGCGCAAAAACTAACTCAGCCAGCTGGTAACAATCCTCCTGAAAGTGAATTCTGTGTTGGCATGATTGTCCATGGGTTTAACAAGACTCACATCCCACCCGCTTCCTGTGCCACGGTCAATGCCTCGTTCCTCTGTTTCTGCCCACCCAGGAGATGGAGAATAGCCAGCAACCATGCTTTGTGTGAAACCTCCCACTTCCTCATAATTGCAAATTTATCGTTTCTTTTTTCCTTCGGACTGAATAATAGATGTTTGGCCTTTCTTATATATATCTAGCTTATTTTCTGTATAGTTTACTTTTGTGTCCCAAATCTTTTACAAAATGTCTGTCATTTTCTTCCATTGTGGTTCCCGAGGCTGTTTCCTGCTGAGGGAATGACTGGGGGATCAGCAGGACCCCTGAGATTCTGGGCAGGTCTATATGCTGCATTGCCAAGCTCATTTATTGCTTCAAGCTAGATTTTTAAACAAAAAGCAGGACTCTTATTGTTTCTTTGTGTCCTTTCAAACAGGCATTTTGTTAGGAGAGGTTAGGATATACAATTAATTGATTCAAATCTTTTTTGGGGGGGGGGGCAAAGAACAAGTATAATTTTGGGGACAAGGTGACAAACTCTTGTTTGGAAAACCATGAAGAGGGGAAGTGATATGGAGCGGTTTATTGTTCACATCTTTGCTTAAGCCAGTTCTTGCCTAAGTATTGCAGTGGGCAGTCATTAAAGCCCACATCGTTAGGAAACTCCGTTATTTCACTCCTTTTGGCCTAATAGCTTTATTTCAAAGTAGTTTCCCTCCTTCTTTATTTTCCTATTTTGATGTGAGAAAATCAAGACGTCAGAGAGAAGAAAGAAACGAAGCCCAGAAGAAAACATGAGTAATTTGTATTGATCTGATTCAATACTGGGTGTAACATGTATTGCAAAAAAGGAACGCAAATAAAATAGAGAGGAGAATGGGGACTATTGATAGAGTAAATCACAGTGGATTATCCTTGCTTCTCCCAGAAAAAAAAATAAGCATAGTGTGTGTGTGTGGGGGGGGGGGGGGGAAGTCATATAATGGAAGGCAACTCCCTCCTTTCCAGTGCTAAGATGAGAAATGGAATGTTCTGTGCAGAGGTCTGTACCCTGAGGCTCCGGGTCACCTATTTTGAATGCTCTGTAAGCTAAGAATGGTTTTTACATGTCTTAAATTGCTGGAAAAGAAAAACAACAAAGAAAAATCCTATTTGTGACTTGTGAAAGTTAAACTACATGAAACCCACGCTACAGTTCCATACAGCCTTTCTGACGCACGGCCGGGCTCATCCCCTTACGCGTTGTCTTCGGCTACTTTCTGCAACGGCTAATTTGAGTATTTGTGATTCCCAAGCCTAAGATACAGGGTCTCCCCCCAAACTGTATGCACACACGGTGAATAATTACAAAGGCAGTATTTACTAAATACATTTCATTTTCAAAACCGAGCTAACGGCTGGTAAAGTGTGAACACGTGTTGTGGGACACCTGCATTTACCTGTCACTTTCCCCAATGCCTTTCCCGACCGCCCAGCCGATGGAAAAATCCAACGTTGTGATTGGATTTGAAGAGGCAGAGAGGCACTTTAGTGACAATTGGAGACAGGTGTGTGTGTGTGCTCACAGTGATTGACCTGCTTTGGAAGCCTGGCTAAGGCTTTAAAGGGGCAGGCCGGGCGGTGGGCAGCTACGCTGCTTCCCCAGAGTGGTTCGTGTTCTTGGGAGGGATCGCCTTGGTGACAGTGAGGTGTGGACAGCAGTTTGAGAAGAGCAACCTTTTCTGTACCTTCCTTTTCCTCAGAGTGTTTTCCAATATTGTTAATGGTTAAAGAAAGGCTGATGTAACTATTATGAAGACTTTTATTAAGCATTCTGACTGACTTAAAAAAAAATATATATATATATTCTTTCGAAGAACTTTTTATAAGGAATTTTTCAAAGTACTTAATCATATTATTTAATGATAAATCTATTTCTTCCTGAGTCTATGCTCAATAACAAGGACGCAAAAAAGGAGCTTTGTAAAGGGCCATTTTAAGGGCTTTTCCTCCTGTAATGGCAACTGCCAGAAAGATGCGAAGTGACCAGGGCTTAACGCTTCATTCATCTACAGCTCTCAAAGCAGAGACCAAAGATCTTGTTCTGTTGAGCCATGCTGCCTTTTCAAGAGACGTTTCTCAGCAATGCAGATTGCCTGGTTAAATCTCAACTGGAAAACCTAAGTCTAAATCGCTTAAAAATGCCATACATTTGTAAGATTGGGGGAATCTATCTGAAGTCCAGTTCTGTTTCTTATGAATTCAATCGTGTTTCTCTGGGTGAGCGAGGAGACAATTCGAATCCACAGATCTGGTTATGCTCCTGGAGGGACTGAGAATGTAGAAGAGAGAGAGAGTTGCTACCATTGTACGAAATTGAAGTTTCTCTTCCAATCCCAGAACCCAGGCATGCATGGCATCCTAGTTAGCCCTCTGCCTAAGGAGACTGACTTCTCCGCATCCTTTACAGACTGTCTGGGGGCTGGGGGGAGAGGAAAAAAAGTAGTTCCGAACTTGAGAATAATCAATGTTATAAAAACATTTCAGAACCCAATGAACTAACTGCATGTCTGCTTCTCTGCCCCTTTCAGACGAAAGTAGGCGGGCCGAACCCGGGCGGAGGCAGCTTTGAGGAGGTGCTCAGCTCCACCGCCCACGCCAGCGCGCAGAGCTCGGCGGGCGCCCCCCGGCGGGAGGAGGAGGAACTGCAGTGCTAGGGCTGCCAAGCCCCAGCCCATCACCCCCCGCACATGCCCACACGGATATGAAGACCAAAATCCGCACTGGCAAAAACCAGGCCTTGACCTTCAAATGGCGTCTCCCCCGAGTTCCATAAAGTGATTTCCATTTGTATTTGTGTTGATAACGGACCCTTCGACCGCACCCTTAAGTAGTCACAGGGGGTCATCTTTTAAAATGCCCTGATTTGAGCAGGTACAAAATTGGTCATGACCCTTCTCTTTGTGTAACTCAAACATATTTTTCAAACATAAGCTATTTTGCTTTGGTTCTGGCTTGGACGCCATTGCCATGCGCATGTCTTTGAAGGCTGAGTGAGCACCCCCTTTCTGTTCAGTCAGTCCACTGGGGGGCGCTGTCTCCGTCTCCAGCAATGGGATGACACTGCAAATTTCACCCAACTGCTTGTGGTCCGCCTCACCTACATTAATCACACGCTTGTTTAAGCAATTAAAATAGTTGATTTTAATGATGACTTTGAGTTCTTAATTTCTTTAAGTCTTCAGGGATACCGATGACCTTAAAAGGTGACAGCAATAATTCTGCATACGCTAGTTTATTTTATTTTTAAAATATATTTTATTGACTTTTACAGAGAAGAAGGGACAGGAATAGAGAGTTAAAAACATCGATCACCTGCCTCCTGCACACTCCCTACTGGGTATGTGCCCGCAACCAAGGTACATGCCCTTGACTGGACTCAAACCTGGGACCCTTGAGTCCGCAGGCCGGCGCTCTATCTCCTGAGCCAAACCAGTTAGGGCTGCAGATGCTAGTTTAAAACAACTCTTGCTATCTGGTGAACATGGAAATGGATAGATAAATAATTATAATCTCAGCTACTTTAGGATGCTAAAACTTCAATTCTAAAAAGTCTCTCTAATCTACATAGAATAGTAGTTTACTGAGGTAAACTGACTATGTAAGGGTATCTGCAAAAGGAATACAGTAGCTAGAAAGCGAAGCACCCTAGCCTATTTGGCTCAGAGCCTCCGCCTGCAGACCTAAGGGTCATGGGTTCAATTCTGGTCTCAGGTCTGGGCCCTGGTCAGGGCATATGCAGGAGGCAAGCAATCAATTTCACTCTGATATCTGTGAGTGATATAAGGACCATAACATGAGTTCCCTTTTTTAAAAATTTTGTTATAGGATGTGCATGAACAAGCCAAATCAATGATTAGAACAAGACATTTGCTGATAGGAAGGTAGTCTTGGGCTAGAGCAGTGGTTGGCAAACTCATTAATCAAGAAAGCCAAATATCAACAGTATGACGATTGAAATTTCTTTTGAGAGTCAATTTTTTTAAACTTAAACTTCTCCTAACTCCACTTCTTCAAAATAGATTCGCCCAGACCTTGCTATTTTGTGGAAGAGCCACACTCAAGGTGCCAAAGAGCTGCATGTAGCTCGCGAGCCGCAGTTTGCCGACCACGGGGCTAACGGTTTCATTGCTGTATTGCCTGCTCACTCAAGAGCTGCCTGTTTCTCCCTCACTTTGCAAGTGCAAGTTCCCACGCAATAGTCGTGTTCCAGAAGTGCTGAGGCATTGGCACACAGTGGATGTGACCTTTTAGTAACAAATCAAAATGACATCTGGTCAGGACCAAGCCTATACAAAATGATACCACAAACAATCTACAGTAGTCCTCATCCCCCGAGTCCCTTTCTGCAGTCTGTTACCCTCACTCAACCTCGGTCCAACAGTATTAAATGAAAAATCCCAGACATAAACGATTCGTGAGTTTTAAATTGCACATCATTCTAAGCAGCATCATGGAACCTCGAGTCAGCCCTGTCCATAGTGCCAGAGACGTGAATGAGCCCTTTGTCTGGTGTCTGCACGTTGTGTATGCTCCCCACCCGGTAGACACTTGTCTGAATTGTCAGCTGCAGTGCTTGTAACCCTTGTTTTACTTAATAATGGCCCCAAAGGGCAGGATTGGGAGTGCTGGCAGGTCAGAGGTTTACTCACCTTGTGGCCATGCCAGACAAGCCCCATCCCAGGTCCCTTGCTTGTGAAACCTGCCCCTATCAGTCTAGAGTGGTCTGCCTCTTCCTTCGGTCTCTCCTTGCTCTCTGCGTACGGTGGCCAGCTTGTGAACCAACAGTTCAAGCCAAGAATAGCCTTTACTCTGCAACATAATTATAGGATTTGTTATTCAGAAAACCAATTCCAGGCAAGTAGCGGGTATCTCCCAAGAAAAACACATTTTTTTAAAAATATTTTTTATTTTTGGGGTGATAGAAATATTGATGAGAAACATCAATTGGCTGCCTCCTGCATGCCCCCCACTGGGATTGAGCCCACACCCCGGGAATTGAACTGGTGACCTCTTGGTTCCTGGGTTGGAGCTCAAATGCTGAGTCACACCAGCCAAGTGAAAACTACATTTTTAAAGTGATAATGTTCAAATATTTGTAGACATTGGCAGGTGAAATCAATAGCTTTAAAAATAAATGATCTCAATTTTGTTTTTATGATACTTTATTTATAGCACCATTATATTTCATTGTTTTTAAACACATTACCTCAGTGAGGAAGGCTGTGTGAGCCCTCAACGTGGTGGGTAAATGGAAACTGAGATAATGATTAAGTGACAAGTAAAGTCTGTGAATTAATAAAAAAATAAATAAATAAAGCAGGCAGAACATCCCAAATAATACTCAAGGGCCACAGGAAATCTCCTGGTTATAAATATTTGAACCTTATCTGGAGTTTTCTTGTGCCAGAAAACACTCTAAAATACCAATAGATGTGGGTCTGTTTCCCTGCTAACTATATCTCCAATAATAACCACCCTCTGCTGGTTTCCAGTCATTTACCACCTTTTAAATACTGTTAGGAGGCAGCAGTATTTGGATGCAAAGCAGCACTGCTCTTTTCAACGCAGAGCAGCTAGCTATATGCACGTGTGTGTGCTGCCTCTGAAGAGATCGTGCACCTTGCTTCCCGCAGATGGGGTATCCATGGAGACTGCAAAGAGTTTCCAAAGAAACGCTGCCAGCTGGAAAGGCTTTCTTCAAATAGAAACTGACATTTAAATTAAAGGGACAGGCATCATGTTCCACACCAAAATCTATCAGTGCGAAATACTGAGCAGGTTTGCACCAAGCAGCCTTCTCTTCCTCGCCATTCAATTCTTGAGCAAGGCAGACTACTCATCCTATAAAAGAGGGGAAGAAGCCAGGTCTGACCTGTTCCCTACATACACACCAAGTCCAGTGACCCCGGCAATACTCCTATTATTACCTTTTTCTCACTTGGTGGTAAACATTCCTATAACACAAAGTCTGCACATCTGTAAACCAGACAAGAAAAACTACACCGAGGACGACAAGTACCATGTGGAATTGCATACCCCAATCTGTATCTCCAAGTGACAAAGAGAACTGGGGGAAGGTCGGAACCTGTGAGCAGGTGTACAAACCCATGATTAGAGGCCTAAAGCAGGTCACAACGAAATTAAACATCTGGTTCCGGAGAGTGATCACCTGAATAAAGCAGCATTTCACCTGAGAGAAGAAGGCATGATAATATTCTTTTTCCTAGATCCTTATCACTAAGTCGGCTGAAAAACCAGTTCTTTTAAAAGCAATAATGAAATCTCCTATTGTTCAATGAATCTGGCCCTCAGGAATATAGGTTATAAATTCAGTAGATTTAAAACCTCCAATAAAGATTCCAAAGTTTAGGGTTTTAAAATGTATTTATTTAGTTCATAAAAAGACACCTCCTCTCCCACACCCTGCCAAGTCTTCACCCATGCGTTTTCATCACCACATCCTGTTCTGCGGCTTCTTTTATGGCCCAAGTGATATCACGTTTCTTGCTGGCGTCCAGGCGATTGAAAATAAACAGACTCACATCTGGGGAAACTTAACAGGCCAACAGTGGCAAACACAATACATCCAATGGGGAAAGAAAACGTTTGTTACAGGACTGCGACAACACACAGAACTTCTCAGGAGTGTGCCTCGCCAGCGGCGGCAGCAGCAGCAGCAATGTTAGCGTTTCTTTCGGCTTCGAGTTCTGAAACCAGCTGGACTATCTCTGGGTGACGGAACTTTCCTGCCAGGCAAGAGGACGGAGAAAGATAAGGATGAGAAAATACAGCATTCTCTCCAGCTTGACCCAGGCCTTGTCAGGGGCTTGGCTCTGTGATCTGACCCATGGTTTACTCCAACGCAGGACACAATTCCAGATCCTTCTTTCTGGTTGGGAGCGAGGCCGGAGGGGGGACACCTGGAGCTTATTCTCCGTCACCCCAGATGTCAACGCTCACAAGGAGGAGAATCAGGCAAAACTATCGACCAGATAGGAGCTAGGAGGAATGCCGCCAGGCAGCGTCTGAATGAGGAGCCACAGGGAAACGCAGGAGCTCAGTGCAGTGAGGTTTAACCTCAGCTCAGTTATGGGCACGTCACCCTCTCTCCAGGCTCAAGTATCTTCCTTGGGAAAATAGGGAGTTTAGCTAGGTGACCCTTCTAGGTCCCACATTTTTATTTTACTAAAGTATTTTCATATTTCATATTTCATTGAGAATGTGTCAATGGAAGATAATGTTAAAATGCAAAGCACCACATAAACATGACTTACTTATATTTTAGTTACATTATTGGTAAAATATGCTATCTTAGAACCCAATCATTGCTTAAAACACAGCTGGCATGCCCTAGCCAGTTTGGCTCAGTGGATAGGACTGTCGGCCTGTGGACTAAAGGGTCCCAGGTTCGATTTTGGCCAACGGCACACGCCTGGGTTGTGGGCTCAATACCCCCCAGTGGGGGATGTGTGGGAGGCAACCAATCAATGATTCTCTCTCATCATTGATGTTTCTAGCTTTCTAGCTCTCTCCCTTCCTCTCTGAAATCAATAAAAATATATTAAAAAAAAAATACACACACACAGCTGGTAACCCTTTTCTGTAAAGAGACAGATATTAAATATTTTAGGCTTTGTGAACTTACACGACTCTCTTGCAAATTACTCAACTCTGCTGTTGTAGCACAAAAGTAATATAAACAATACATAAAGAATGAGTGTGATTGTTTCAATAAAACATTACACAAACAAGTACAGCGGGCCAATGTGGCCCATGGTGCATAGTTTGCTGACCCCCGGTATACAGCATCATCCTATTTAATTAGGATTATCCTATTTACAACATTATCCTAAACACATCCTATTTACAACATCATCCTATTTAATTATGATTATCCTATTTACATTATCCTATTTACAACGTAATCCAAAACTTTTTTGAATACCACCTACATCAAAGGACATATGAGACAAAGTTGGTGTTGGCCCTGAAACACCTTCTAGGGTGGGGTAAGCAAGTGTGGGTTTGAGAAGAGGCCCGAGGAGGAGCATCATTCGGAGAATGCGGGTCAGACAGTGAAACACCATGGTAAGCTCTGGACCAGGGCAGATTAGCAAAAAGAGGGGAACACTTCATCTTGACAGGGAGGTTTAGGGAAGGAAATGAGAGAGGCGAGTGGCGTTAGGCAAAGTATCAGGATTTTATTTTTTCAGGAAAAGGAAAGCCACAGTTTTAAAAGCAAACCCTCTGGATGAATGGCGAGTCTAGCAGGCTCAGTTTGGTGGTTATAATACCCCAATACAGAAATAATGAGGCCAGGCCTAGAGCAGACCTAGTGCTGGAAGAGAGAAGGAAAATCCAATCAGCTTCATTACAATGCAAACCATATTTCGGGGCGTAGTCTGGGATCTGGGACCCTCCTCTCCTTGGTGGGGCCACTGGGGGGTCCCGAGAGGTCCCAGAAAGGCTCTCCCTGACTACTCTGAGGGGGGCTGGCTGGGCCTGCAGGGCTCCCAGGCAGAGACAGGAACACCCGCCGGCGCGCCAGCCGTCACTAATTCAGGAAGCCTGGCTCCCGCTCTGGAAACTGGATCAAAATGAAGATGGCTGAGGGTTACTGCCAGGTATTCTTCTAAGCACTTCACATGAATGAACCCACTAGATCCTCAAACAACCCTGAAAAGTACATTCTGTAATTATCTGTACTTTCAAAATGAGGAAACGAAGGCCTGGAGCTAGGTTAAGTGATTTACTAGAGGTTACAGATGTTATGGGCAGAGCTGGGATTCAAACCCAAGCAGTGCGACCTGTCTTAAATCTCTATTTCTACCTCCACCTCCACATGCCCTTACACCTAGGAAGCACTCAGAGATCATACTGCACTTTCACATGCATCATCTCTCCTGAGTCTCAAAACCGACCTATGATGCCCATTTCTCAGAGAGGACACGGCGAGGTCAGGAGACTGCCCGGGGGCACCCAGGTCGGACTCCGGGGGACAATGCTTGCCCACACCAGGCCAGCTCTCCCCGAGAATCCCACCACTTCCTCTTGGGAAAGGTCAGAAGAGGGTCACAAGAGTAGATTCACTGGCTCAGTGTCTCGACACAGGAGGAAGCCCCGCGGTGACGAGGCTTATGGAAGCAGCCCTGCGCACCTGCCGTGGAGTCATAGAAGTCCTGCAGTCTCCCTGGCTTGTTCTCCAGGTCTTCGTACTCAGAGGCCTGAAGAACCATCTCACATTGGTCCAGCTGCTTCACAAATCTGGCCTCCGCGCTAGCTTGGGTCTCATACTCCTACCAAAGGGACAATCAGAGCAGCATGGTTAGGGCTCAAGGCAGGGTAATCCAGGACAATTCTGACTCTGGTACCTGAAAGCAGTCACAGCTGGAAGGGCGTTCTCAACTGACCACATCTCTCCATCTTATACGAAGCCTTCACAGAGCTGAATCTGCAATTTCACAGCTAGCATCGTCACTCCACAGCCAGCATCATCACTCCACAGCCAGCATCGTCACTCCACAGCCAGCATCATCCCTCCACAGCCAGCATCGTCACTCCACAGCCAGCATCATCACTCCACAACTAGCATCATCCCTCCACAGCCAGCATCATCCCTCCACAACCAGCATCATCACTCCACAGCCAGCATCATCCCTCCACAGCCAGCATCATCCCTCCACAACCAGCATCATCACTCCACAGCCAGCATCATCACTCCACAACCAGCATCATCACTCCACAGCCAGCATCATCACTCCACAACTAGCATCATCTCTCCACAGCCAGCATCGTCACTCCACAACTAGCATCGTCACTCCACAGCCAGCACCATCACTCCACAGCCAGAAGGGGTGCTCACACTTCCATGTGTCCCACCAGATGCAAGCCCTGGAAGACTCATGTGTTCATATTGACACTCTAAGCATTTTTCTTCCTGTTAAGAATCTTGTCTCCATTTCAATCTCATTATTCTTTAATCCAGCGGTTGCCAACCTTTCGGACCTCATGAACCACCAGTGGTCTGCAGTTGGCGACCACTGCGTTAGTCCACCTGAGTGGTGTAGGTCTTTAACTTCAAGCTAATATTGCATCTCATGCTTCTCAAATTATTTCTATCTAATGCCAGGTTTCCTTTTCCTCCAAGGAAATTTCTAGCTTTCTAATTTTGGTTAGCACTTTATACTTGGAACATCAGTCCTTGCTTTCTTTTAAAATATTTTTTATTAATTTCAAAGAGAAAGGGAGAGGGAGAGACAGACACATCAATGATGAGAATCATCAGTCAGTTGCTTCCTGCATGCCCCCCTACTGGGGATCGAGCCCGCAACCTGGGCATGTGCCCTGAGCGGGAATGGAACTGTGACCTCCTAGTTCATAGGCTGATGTGCAACCACTAAGCCAGGCTGGCCAGGCTGGCCTCACTGGCCTCACTTCCTAAAGAGGGAGGCCTCCAGCCTGTCCTGGTTATGACTCGATCCAGTCAGGATCTGTGGATTCTTCATGGCGTGTGTGGCAGGGAGGTGGTGAAGGAAGTGGACACGGAGCAGATTTTACCTTTCCTCTTCCCATTGGCCCCTCCCTCCTCAGTGCACACCTGAAATGAGCTACAGGAAGTCTGTACATGCCACACGCACACAAGTCCCAATTAATACCACATAGAACCATTCTATTAACACCAAAGTGCTCCCGCTGGTTTCCCTGCCAAGTTCTCATTGTAATTCCACCCCAGATGCGTTCTATAATGAACCTGTCATGCTTTCTTGGCAAGATAATGCGATGGGAAACACTGACGGTTTCTTAGTCTTTGTTAAATGCCTTATTCTTTTATGACAGCTATTTGAATTTTGATAGACATTAAAATTGTACAGAGAAATAATTTTAATATAAAACCAATACATTTTTATTTCAAAGGCACTTAGAAATAGTTACATTTAATTTAAATGTCTGTTTACAGTTATATATTTACTAGCAGCCCAGTGCATGATTAAATCATATGCGTGTAGGGTCCCCTAGGCCTAGCCTGCCATCAGGGCCATGTCCGCCATCCTGAGAGATCTCGCATGCTCCGTGGATGTTGCTGGTGCCCTGGGGGGGGGGGGGGGGGGAGAGAAGGAAGGGAGGTAGGGCCCGAGAACCTCCTGGTGACCTGTCATTTGGTTGTTATGGTGTTATGGCCATTGGCCTTTTATAATATAGATATTTAACAAATTTATCTTCATTACTTAACAAAAATAAATGGAGTTCTCTAAACACAGCAGTCCAGGATTTTTCTCAGTTGAAAATGAGAAAAAAGATATTATTAGGAAATAATATATTTTATAACAAATTGTGAGGAAAATACATATTTATTTTTAAACTATACATCACTGGATTTTCTCTCAAAAAATAATGGTACTGGCATTATTTATTTTTACTTTCTAATCAGGGATATTTCTCCAAAGCAAAATGAAGGCTATTGAGTAGGCTTCTTTCTGTGATACTTTGAGAAAGAAGATGTTTTCTCTTGACTTGCTAAAATCTGACTTCACACTTTATGGTAAAAGATAAATTATAATCAAGGATGTTTAATGGTTTTAAAAAGATGTGACTCTCTAGGCTGACAGCTATTTATAATGGAGAATAGCTATGAATAACATTGCAGAAATTAATTAACTGACAAGTTTGAGGCAGCCCTAGGAAACCAACAGAGTCTCTTACCTACAATAATAAGCAACTGACATGGTGCCACCAATACCCTAGAACTATAAATGCTTTTCGCTTAGCCAGCATGCAGGAGAATCCCGTTCAGAAAATGCTGCCTTAGACATCTGATATGAAGCCCACATACACACTCACCCTCTCCACAAATAAACCAATAAACACAGATCCTTAACTTGTATCTTGCCTGTGCCTCTGGGCCCGTGACCACCCCACTGACCTTTAGCAGCTTTCATTTGCAGGCCTGTGTTGATTGGGTAGGGAGAGCTTAAGAGCCTGGAAAAATAGTTTCTATAAATAAATTTCTATAATTCTGTCTGAAAAATGTGTTGCTACTTATTCATATGATCTTCATTTTTCTCCTCTGGCCCTTAATAAAAAGAAAGAAAAAACAACAACAACAACAACAACCAGCCAAAAAACGAGTTCCCCATCCCTGTCATAGCAACTTCATGTCAGAAAGCAGAAAAGCACACAGCTCTCCTCCACTCAGTCATCCATACCCCACAGCGTCTCCAATAAGGAAATTGAACGTCGGCCGTATTTTTAGGTGCTGGTGAGCCAGAAGCAATTCTGAAGGAGGCCTGTCACACCCAGGGCGGCCACTGTCTTGTCCCGAGATCCCTGTCCTTGTTCTCTAACAAGTGTGACTAAATCAACCAATGACTTTTACAACATCACACAATTGTTACTGGTTTGGGGATTATGGGATCCTTTAACGCTCGGTGTTTTACAGTTTTCCCAATCCAAAGTCTTGCTCAGTGACCGTTGTAGCACTTTCATTTGTAAACTACTGTTGTAGTTAAGTAAATTTTGCAGTAAGCTTTCTTTAGCCAGTTCTTGATGGCTAACTAAGAAAATAACAGACACTGCCACCGTATTTACAATAATTAGGAGTCACAAGAACAGGAATTTTGTAAAAGGGTTTCAAATTCTGAGGTCTTTTCCTCCTTAAGAGATAATACAAGGAATTAGTTTCATAAACTCAGGAGCCATTTTTTAAAAAAAAAAGTATGAAATGCAACACAATTCCACTCCATTATTCCCCGATTGCAAGTACATACTTCAGAAGGGACTGTTCTGCCTAAAGAACCCCTGGTAACGTAACCAATACCACCAGGCCAGGCTCCCAGGTACCACCCAACCCACCACATGCACTTACTTCCCAGAGTTCATAGAGCTCCTTTCCGAGATCCTTGGGGAGAAGCTGGGTTAGCTGCTTCATAGCTTCCTGAAACATCAAACCATCATTTTAATCATGTCCACGTTTCAGCTCACTTATAAAGCCAAGCACTGGTCTCAAACTCTCACACATAACCTCAAAGGGGCAGCAGAATATTGGACAACATTTACAGCTTACAAGGAGGGCAGCCGTGCCCATTTGAGGTCATGCAACCAGCGCTAACTGTAGTTATTGACGTGTGGTCTGACCAAAGGGAACCTCAGCCTCAAGCTAGACCCTGCATTTCTATAAATGCAGCACAGGACTAAACTGGCTCTTTGGAGACCACATCCAATTACTGATTTATTAATAAACTACCTATTGACGCAAGTCGCCATGCTATTAAAAACAAAACAAAACAGATAAACAAGCCAAAACCGGTTTGGCTCAGTGGATAGAGCGTCGGCCTGCGGACTCAAGGGTCCCAGGTTTGATTCCAGTCAAGGGCATGTACCTTGGTTGCAGGCACATCCCCAGTGGGGGGTGTGCAGGAGGCAGCTGATCGATGTTTCTCTCATCGATGTTTCTAGCTCTCTGTCCCTTTCCCTTCCTCTCTGTGAAAAATCAATAAAATATATTTAAAAAACAAACAACAACAAACAAACAAACAGATATACAATACATTGCTCTCTTCCTGAAATTGAGCAACAATATCCTGGATCTAAACCCACATCATTGGTTATTATACAGCAGAAGCGCATCTCAAGGACTCTTGGGTAGTTGATATTCCTTGTCTGGCAGCGTCTGCTACGGAATCATGCCCACCATTTTCAATGAACCCTCGGAAACCGACCCACAGAAGTTCAGGGTACGTGGCTGGAAGGTGCCAGCCTTTCCCTTCCTGATGGTGAGCCCTGCCATTCCCACTCCCAACCCATTAGCCTTGTTCACACACAGTCTTAGAAATAATTCCCATCAAGATTCTGCCCAAAGGTCTGAGCTGAATGAAGCTTTCGGCAAACATCTGTGTCAGTTACGTGACGAGCACGAAAGCATCATTCACTATTCACACATCATTGGTGACATGAACAGTGCCGCAGTCACTACAAACTATCAGTCCAGAGGGGGTCTGAAACCAGCTGGCCATTTACTCTCTGTGGAAACCTGAGCAAGCTACTACTTAAACTCTTTGTGCTTCAGGTTGTCATCTGTGAATTGAGGTTAGCAGTGGTCCCTACCGGAAAGGATTGTTGTGTGGCTCCAGTAGTTTATGTACATCAAGTACTTACTATCTGGCACATACTGAGCACTGTTTAAAATGTTCACTATATTTCTCATTTTCCCCATCTTGTCACGTTCACTCTCATAATATAGTTTGGTTCTTCTCTCTCTTTAAAAATTTTTTTTTTTTTTTATTTCAGAGAGGAAAGGAGAGAGAGAGACAGAAACATCAATGAGAGAGAATCATTGATTGGCTGCCTCCTGCACACCCCCTACTGGGGATCGAGCCTGCAATCTGGGCATGTACCCTTGACTGGAAATGAACACAGGACTCTTCAGTCTGCAGGCCAAAGTTCTGTCCACTGAGCCAAACCAGCTAGGGCAGTGGCCGGCAAACGCATTTGTCAACAGAGTCAAATATCAACAGTACGACTGAAATTTCTTTTGAGAGTCAAATTTTTTAGACTTAAACTTCTTCAAAATAGACTCACCCAGGCCGTGGTATTTTGTGGAAGAGCACACACAAGCGGCCAAAGAGTCACATGTGGCTTGCGAGCCGTAGTTGGCCAACCACAGAGTTAGGGTGGTGATTCTTTTAACCTGTTCTTTAACAACCTTAACCCTTGAAGATACATATATACCATAGCTCTCCTTCTGTCTCAATGTTTGTGCCTTTACAAAAGTACGTAACCTTCATTCATGTACTCAAGTCTCATGTTCCATCCCATACCAACTTGGGTTATAATATAAAGTACGCTTTATCCTGGTAGGACGGGGTCAGACTACAAGTACTGCTTTTGGCCCCTACATTTTCTCTTTATGCCCCCATCCTCCCTTTCATCCAAACACTTTCTCGCCTTCAAAACAGTCGGCCTTCCAGGCTTATTCAGTATTTTCCCAGCCTCCTCCTTCGGCTTAGACCTTCCTGCTGCAGTTGGCGAGCCTCTGGATCAAGGACGCTCCCTGTTTCTCATGATGTGCAACTCACCTCGAGCCAGGAAACCCTCGTTTAATCATCTTAATGCATGGCTCAGACATCCCCCTCTTACTCATGAGGACCCTCTGCCCAAAGAATGGCTCATCTCCCAGACCCTCCTCTCTGTTCCCAAATCCTTGCCAGCAGCAGGAAGAGGCAGTGGAATATCAATCAGTGCTCTCTAGGCCTTTGGCTTCTTGTCCAAGCACTTGTGGTTCTCAAAGATGCTTCCCTTGTCCCTTCTGAGTATGGTATTCACCCTGCTGTGAATCAGGAGTGGGCAGCAGACAGGAGGCTTAATGAGGTTTCTCATAATCGCCAGGATAACAGAGTCCAGGAGGACAGCACTACGCCCTCTGATGGTTCAGGGCTACTCTGTGCCCTCCACGGAGGCCAGGACTCGGCTCTCGTCAGGACAGCAGTAGATCTCCTCCCACCCCCAGTAGCTGGAGATCCTTCCTATGGACAGCGCTTTGCCTTCAGGAGGTTCTGACTTGCTCCCTTAAGGAGTAAGCCTCCATGTCCCTGTGGACCTGCATAGGGTCAGCCTGTCTTTTCTGCTTCCTAGGACACTTCAAGGTCTTTGGTTACCCTCTGGTATTTCCGTACATGATGTCTTGTCCACAATGTCCAGTTGTCCCCTTAAAGATGTGCCCCTGAATAAAACTGCCATATATCCTGAAATGAGCTGTATATTTGAGGGGTCCCCGCCACCCCTTTTTCTCTCTATGTCATAAGTCATTTCTCAACATCCTCTGGTTGAGGGCTAATTACTTTCTGTAACTCAATATCTTGAGCTAACTGGTCCCAGTTTAAATCATTTCTGTCAATCAACCTAGGATTTTTTTTTTTTTTTTTTTAAGAAAGGCTTTTCTTTTTTCATCTCTTTTTTAGATTATTTAAAAAAATTATTGTTCAGTTATAGCTGACATATACAGTATGACATTAGTTCCAGGTGTATAACACAGAGAATGATTAGAGACGTCTATACCTCAGAAAGAGACCACGTCACAACAACAGTCTACTCTAAACTATGGAGAAACAGTTCTTTAGCTTCCGCCCTTTCTGTAGGCTGTGAGGACGCTGAGCCTGTATTCCACACCCGTATTTTGGCAGGAAGAATATTCCTTACACTATTCCTCTCGTTCCCGTAATTTAGAATATGCTGGAATTCCTAAATTGGGATTCTTTATGGCTTCTCTGCCTGTAGAGAGGCAAAAACGCTGTTGGCTATAGGTTAGTCTCCCCTCAGCTCCGAGAACAGCTAGCCAGGCCACCTGCCCTGTTAAACCATCTTGATAAAGGGCTTGTCCACTCAGCAGTTGAGGATTTCTGGCCCAGAGTGAAAGCAGCTTGCAATGATCCCTGAACTGAGAACCAGCTATTCAGCATCAAAATCCCTCTCGGATGTTGTGGCCTCTGCTGTGAGTATGTCTTCCTCTTTGGCCCTGGCCTCTGGGCTTACAGCCCGAACGGATACTGATTTCCCATTTTATTGATGTCTTTCCTTTCTTACTAATACAAACATTTCCTTACTTCTGACCACTAAAGAACTAATTTAAAATCCAACAAACAATTACAAAAATGATTATACTTTGTCATTTATAGGACTTCTTTCCAAAGAACTTAACCCGCATAAAGAATTCCTTCAAGTTCCAGCTATTTCCAGTGTCCCAACGAAAGCCATGCTCTCTCTGTCCACATACGAATGAGAATGGAAGCCCACGTAGTTTGCAGTCCGTGGGCTAAACAAGGCTGGGAGCAGGCATACTTTCCGGTTCTTGTGTTAAAATGGCATCCTACTCCAGGGAAACCCTTGCTTCCAGAAGCGAAAACTATAAACTACCCAATTCAGAGTGAGCACTAATGGCTTACTCTTCAAGAGTGTCTTTAAGATTCTGCCTGATCAGTCCCACCAACCCAAGACTCGTATGTCCTAAACTCTGTGCAGTCTGTGGCCTCGACTAGCTGCCCTTATTGTGAGGTCCATGTAAGCATGCTCCAGCCCAGGCTCTGCCACTGTAAATACCCTCCCCGGACAGTCCCCTTCCCTTCCTGCACACTAAGACCCCGCCGAAGTGGCACACTCCCTTCTCCGACCAGCCTGAGACTCAGCTCTGCCTCAGCCAGCAATAGTCTTAGACCTCACAGGTTTTCCTGGCGGTCTCTTGCGGAGTCTACAGTTAACACTGACCTCTTCTCGCCTATGTTTTTCTTCTTTGGGGATGTTATCTGCTGGTGCTATGTCCCCAACGATGCATTCTGCCATATCGTGAACCAGGGCTAGGCGTACACATCTGACCAGGCAAGAAATGGTGGATAATTACACAGAAGCATATTCGCTGCAATCTCCTTCTCTATACTGTTTTGAAGTTATATAATACAGTTTTCTTTCTCCACCCTCAGAGTATTTCAATGCAGTATTTTCTAAAGTAACTATATGATGAAAACCTTCAAAGGTTCTGAATCAAAACTGCTTGTTAAGCCCGGCCTGTGTGGCTCAATGGTTGAGGGTGGACCTGTGAACCAGGAGAGATCACGGTCTGATTCCCCGTCAGGGCACATGCCCAGGTTATGGGCTCGATCCCCAGTGTGGGGTGTGCAGGAGGCAGCTGATAGATGTTTTTCTCTCTCTCTCTTCCTCTCTGAAATCAATAAAAATATATATTTTTTAAAAACTGAATAGTAATATTCAACACCATAAATGAGAGTATTGTGCAGAGGAAATAGCCTATATATTTTTAGAAATGGCTGGTTTTTCAAATATCATTTTAAAAGCTTGATAACATCAATCTGGTTGCTGGATTTGAACTCAGATCTGTCCAACTCTATTCATTTTTTTTTTCTATCAAGGTCCTCATTTGACCATCTAACTACTTCACTGGAGAAATGATTGTTTCTGAATTTTGTATCAGTAAGTAAATGCTATAACCAGATCATCTAGAATTATAACCTGAAGTTATCAATCATTCTTTTTTCTTTTAATATTTTTATTGATTTTAGAGATAGGAAGGGAGAGGTAGAGAGAAACAATGATGTGAGAAACATCGATCAGCTGCCTCCTGCATAGGGATTGAACCTGCAACCTTTGGGGACACTGGATTACACCTAACCAACTGAGCCACACCAGCCAAAGCAGGCTCTTTCACTTGCCAAGAAAAAACCCAGAGTTGCCGAAACCGGTTTGGCTCAGTGGATAGAGCGTCGGTCTGCGGACTGAAAGGTCCCAGGTTCGATTCTGGTCAAGGGCATGTACCTTGTTTCGGGCACATCCCCAGTAGGGGGTGTGCAAGAGGCAGATGGTCGATGTTTCTCTCTCATCAACGTTTCTAACTCTCTCTCCCTCTTCCTTCCTCTCTGTAAAAAAATCAATAAAATATATTAAAAAAAAACAAAACACAAAAAAACCCAGAGTGCAATTAACAAATGAAGCAATCAACACACACAGTTCTCCCCACACCCTGAACCTGCACGGGTTGCCTCAAATACATTTTTTTTGCTATGTATAAACTACAAGAATTTGACACAGGCCTCAGTCATGAAAAGGGGTGCATAATCACAGGGCAGAGACCCTGCCTGCCAGGCGCCAAAGCTCACAGCCCACCTGTCTTTGTTCAGATGATCATCCTTGGTCACCAGAGCCATAACTGCCATCCTGTACATGTGATCCGACACGCTCTCTGGCCTCTCGACATTTCTGTACACCCAGCCAGTCCGTGGGACTCTCTGGTGAAAATGAATGAGAGAAAGAAGTTTATAAAAATAAGCATTTTAACTATCTGCTCTGCTGTTCCATAGAAACCCAGGGAATAGGGCACAGAACTGGTTTCAGGACGTATTAAAAAAATACTAGTACGTGTAACAGGAACCAAGTAAAGCAGCGAAGTCAGCAGAGAATGAGGAAGAGGTGGGGAGGGGGGATAATTCATAAGCACACAACACAAAAGTCTAATAATAATCGAGGGACTCTGTTACTGACTTACACAACTCGGAACCCACACCCGTCCTCTAGACAAAACTAAAAGTGTGAAGCAGCTTATTTTTCATAACTGCAAGGCTTGGGGAGGTGTGACTTCCAACCAGGCCATGGGGCAGACTCAGAGGGGAAAACGCTGGGGAAAGCCCTGAACTTGACCGGGTGACAGGTTTCCAAACTCGGAAGCAGCGGGGTCCAGGCATGTCTAAGGGCTCTTCCTTCCTTCGATTCGCATCACAGGTGTTCTTGTGAGACTGCACTGCCCCCTAAGAAATCTACTATTTCTCAAGAATTTTATAAACAGTAGTAAACGTGGCAGGAAACAGATCATTCTGGAGATTGAACGTAGAGAAATTTAGCAAAGACGTAACGGAGCGGCGGGTGTGTGTGTGTGTGTGTGTGTGTGTGTGTGTGTGTGTGGAGGGGGGCATGAAGTGACGTCACTCCACCTACCTGCAGCGTAAACCAGGAAGGCTCGCTCTTCCCCCAGCTGAGCTCCCGAGATCGGGCGTTCGGGGCCAACCAGGGACCGAGGGCTGCTCGGAAGCCACCCCGCCCGGTGCACTCCTCCCTCCGAAACCCGGGCGGCCACCCCGACCCGGACACTCGGTTGTTTAGACCCCATTCGGCCGGGGTCGGTCGGTCGGTCGGCCGGCCTGGCAGCCCCGACATCCCGCAAGCGCCGCGGGCCGCCCGCACGGGGTGTCCCGGCCGCGGGGCGCGGGGCGCGGAGCTCGCACCCGGGCCCCGCCGCTCCCCGCCCGCCCGCCCCGCTCACCTTGAGCTGCCCCACGAGCCGCAGGAACTGCAGCAGGTTCCGGGCGCCGCGGCCCGACACGGCCACGGAGGAGGCCGAAGCCATGGGCACCGGTCAGAGGGGCGGAGCGAGCCGCGTGGCCGCCGCTGCAGCTCCTCCCCCTTCTTTCCCCTCCCTTCTCCTCCTCCCCTCCCTTCTCCTCCTCCCCTCCCTTCTCTTCCCTCCCCTCTCTCCCCCTTCCTCCTCCCCTCCCCTCCCTTCTCTCTGTCTTCTCCCCTTCCCTCCCCTTCTCTCCTTTCCCTCCTTCCCCTCCCCACCCTTCACTCCTCCTCTCCCCTCCTCCCCTCCCTCTCTCTCCTCCTCCTCCTCCCCTCCCCTCCTCCCCTCCCCTCCTCCCCTCCCTCTCCCTCCTCCTCCTCCTCCTCCTCCTCCTCCTCCTCCTCCTCCTCCTCCTCCTCCTCCTCCTCCTCCTCTTTTTCCCTTGCTCCTCAGCTTTCAAACCATGGCTTGCCCAGGCCCTCTTTCCTAACACCGTTTGGATTTGGGTGGCTGCCCCTTGGGCATTGCACCACCACCCATGGCAGGCACAGTGCTCGGTACATACCAGCCGCTCATTCCTTGTTTGCTAGACTCCATTTAACTGCTCTCCCTCCAAATGGTAAAAGGATCCCAGTTCCAGGGTGAGGGTGGGAGGGTTTGGAGGAGGAGCAGGGCTAAGCCAGATTGCATCAAAATCTCGCCTTTTAGAAACTCAGAGTCTGGTTGGGGAAAAGATAAGCATGGGCAAACGATAAACATTGAACTTGGAAGAGTTCATTAGTCATGACAAGCACTGGTAGGACTGTGGGGTCAGTCATAGCCAAGGATTTTGGAGATCAACATAAATGCACTATAGAGAGAGCACAATCGCAGGATGAAATCTCAACTTCCCTTAACACCTCAAGTGCTGAAGAAACCCCTAACCCTCAAAAGCCGGCCCGGCTCTGTCTCAATCATTGTCTTAATTCCATCAACAACCAAGGGTAATGATTTGTAAAGGCATTTAGCGAACAAGCATACCGAAGGACTCAGGGAGAGGGCCAACGTTGACAATAGACTATATGGGGCAAGTAGGAAGTAGGAAGACCAGTTGGAAGACTACTGAAATCCTACTTTGCGGAGATGATTTTGGTTTGGTCCAGGTGACAGCAGAAGAGGTGCCGAGATGTTGAATTTTGGATACAACTTGAAGGTCGAACTAACAGGATTTGTGACAGATTGCACATAGGATCTGAGAGAAAGAGAGGAGTCAAGACGACAAATTTAGGCCTGACCAACTGGAGGGATGGAGTTGTTATTACTGAGCTGGAGAAAGTGCAAGAACAGTAGGTTGTGGGGAAGGGTAGGAACTAAATGTTTAGGACATGTGGAGATGCCTAGTAGGGATCCTAGTAAATATACACTGAGTGGCCAGATTATTATGATCTCTGAATGGCCACTCAGTGTATATCCTATATAACAAAAAGCTAATTTGCAAATTGTCCCCTCGACCAGGAGTTCTACCAGCAGGCAGGCGGGCAACCACCCATGTCCCCTCCCACTGGCCAGGCTGGCCAGACCCTACCCATGCATGAATTCATGCACCGGGCTTGAATATATATATATATACACACTAAGTGGCCAGATTATTATGTGTTCAGAGATCATAATAATCTGGCCAATCAGTGTATAACATGAACGTCAGGAGAAAGGTAAGAATTTTGTGTCATTAACATACAAGATGGTATATAAAACCATGAACCTGGATGAGACCCTGGTGAGAAATTATGGGTGAAGAAGAAAAGCTATCTAAGGCCTCAGGGCTGTGGCAACCCAACATTTAGAGTTTGGGAGACCAAGAATAAGCAGTCAGGGAGGAAGGAAGAGAACTGAGAGGTAGCTGTGTCCTGGAAGTCAAAGGAAGAAAATATTTCAGGCAGGAAGGAATATGGCCACCCAAGTCATATCAGATAAGGGTTGAGATTTAACTGCCAGACTTAGCAAATTCAATGTCATTGGTGACCTGAATAAGAGAAGATTCAGTTGTAGTGGGGCAAGCAGAACCCCAAATCAAATGGTTCCAGGGAGAATGGGAATAAGTATTGCAACTCATTTAAAATGGATGGGGCCACTAGAAAAGCAATTATTTTAAAAGGAGGATGCCAGTTTAAAGCAATGGGCAAAGAAAACAACTCACTCGAGTCCATTGGAAGAAAAGGTGAAATGAGAGGGATTCTCCACTTGGACTCAATATACTACTACACTTTTAAGGTGTCTGTGAATATTCTAAAAGTGTCTAAAAACTGTGTTAGTTATGAGGATTTTTCTGTTTGTTAGATCCTTGAAGAGGTCTCTGAGAAGAAAAGTTGCTTCAATGTGCAGCTGTGGTAGAGTTCTCAAAGCTCTGGTCCTGGTGTTATAAACTAGTAAAATAACCCCAACAAAACCTGTACCTGCGTGAGCCTCTGCTGATGAGAAATGGTGTTACATCTCTCACCTCATTTTAACTCTCCCAGCATTCATCTAAAATATTAATAACTAGAGGCCTGATGCACAAAATTTGTGCAAGGGGCTTGGCCCTCACATCCCCAGCTGCCTCAGCTGGCCCTTGCAGCCTTGGCTTCATCTGGAAGGTCATCCAGAAGGTCGTCTGGATAGATGTTCTGCTGCTCAGTCTAATTAGCATATTATCTCTTCATTGTATAGGATCCCGCAGTTCAGATTAGAAAACAGAGTTGCCCAAAAGCTGAGGAACTGGCTTCCGTTTTCATAGCCAGCTGGCAGTGTTAGCATCGAAACTCCAAATCTTTCTCTTTGGGACACCCTGTTGCTATGTTGTCATTGCAGAATTAAGTGAGATTCTGTGTGTGAAATAGATTTTGTAAACTGTCATTACATGCAAAGATTTGGGGGGGGAATACATACCAATGGACTAATCTGAGAACATTTGCCCAGAAAACATTCTTGAGTATGCCTAAGGAACTAACTAAACAGTAAAGCTCAAGTCTGAGTAAAATCAAATCCCCCCCCCCACCCCCGCTCCCAGAAGAAAGGGTGCTTCCGCTGCTATATCTCCACAGATAACAGGTTAGCCATTGGTCTGCATCAGCAGTTCTCAAGCTCAGGTGATTTTCCCCACCAAGAGAGCATTTAGCAACATTTGGCTCTATTGCCAAGAAAAATCTTAGTTTAAAACTTGGAAGGGAATAATTGAGCAAAAATCTTTTCTATATAAAGTACATCTCACTTTATAGAAAATATCTATAATAATAAAAATGTACAATAATATGCTAATTAGACCAAGCAGCTGAAAGACCTTCCAGATGTTATTCCGGACATCCTTCTGGACAAAGCCATGGTGAGCAGTTAGGGGCAACCAGGCAGGCAGGCGAGTGGTTAGGGGCAATCAGGCAGGCAGGTGAGCAGTTAGGGGCATTAGGCAGGCAGGCAGAGGTGGTTGGGGGTGATCAGGATGGCAGGCAGGTGGTTAGGTACAATCAGGCAGGAAGGCAGAGGGGTTAGGGATGATCTGGCAGCAGGCAGGCCAATGGTTAGGAGCCAGCAGTCCCAGATTGGGCCAGGGATCTCTGAAGGATTGGGCCTAAACTGGCAGTCAGACATCCCCCAAAGGGTCTTGGATGGCGAGAGGGTGCAGTCTGGCGTAGGACCACTCACTTGCACAAATTTCATGCACTGGGCCTCTAGTATATTATAAAATATTATATAAAGTATTCTTTTGGGGATACTTCAGTTCTTTGTGTGTCTTTGGTTCATTCTAAGTAAAATAGCACTTGAGTTAGGTCAAATTGTTTCCCTAATGGCTGCTCTTGTCTTTTCACAGGACTCAACCTTAGAAGGTGAAAAAAACCAAATGGCCAAACATGAAGCTGCAGAAGCACTTTTCAAGTCGTTGGAAGTCCATTTCTGAGCTCAGGGCTCAGTTTTATCATGATGCTGGTACCAGACAGAAAGATTCTTGGGGGGCAGACACTGTGCTTGATTCATTTTCTTTCCTTAGAACCAAGAATCTTGCGTGGCAGTCCCCTAAAAATGGTGATGAAGTGGGGCGGGGGTTTGGGCGTAGAGATCCAGAAAGGAGACACATTTCAGGGACGGAATCACCTTGCCCAACATAAAGAGGTGTGAGCCATCAGGATGTTGGAAGAGTGCCACAAATCAGGAGCTCAAAAAATTTAATGAAAGGAACAAAACCACTCTACTTGGAAGACATTTCCAAACTGTACTGAAGAGATGCTATTGGCCCGAGGGCCATGGCATTTCCATGAAACAAGGGTATTTAGGATTGGAACACACCCGCTCCTCTCTTCTCCAGTGCCCAGGTGTGGCTGGCAGCAGGGAGTTGAGGAGGATGTGTGTCAAATTACCAGGATGGTCCCTCCCATGTCTGAGCCGAGGCCCACCTACCATCAAAACCACAGTAGCAGCAACATCTGTTCTGCTTTAACTTTCTGGTTCTTCCTCTCTCTCTCCATCTGATCTTTAAAACTACCTTTAAAATAGGTGCCACAGTTGGCCCATGTGTGCCTTCAGCTGGTTCTAATTATCTCCCAGGCCCATTCTCTCCCAATAAAGGACACATTGTAGAAGGTGTTTTATAGCCTAACTTGTTAATAGAGCCAGGTCATTCTACCAGGTGTAACAAAGCCTAACATGGCAATCAAGGCTAACACACAAATATGTTAGGTAAATATAGTTTCACTGATTTTTAAAAAAAGCAGATGAGCCATCTAATGCTTAAAGTCCCTTCTAATTCTAAAATCCTAATATTTAAAACAAGATTTCCTCACCATTAAAGGACATGTCTCTTTATACATGACTATTGGATATCCCCCCTGTTGGTAACTTTAGTTTTTTGTTTTTTTAAAATCATAGATTCTACTACAAATAAGTGAATGAATAATGCAAGAATAATCAAATCTGCCCATTTCCTCTTTCTTGGGGACTCAGGACTGAATGATGTAGAGTTCTGTAGGCCCCCTCATTTGACATCATTGTCAGCGAGTAACTGTAGGGTGCACCATCATAAAACATTCAGAATTAAAGGTGAATGTTGTCTCCCTTCTTCTCAAGTGGGGAAGGGTTCTGAATGGAGATTAAGTTTAACTTGCAAATGTCAAGAAGGATCTCATCC